GCTCCTTTGTGAATTGTTAGGTAAGCAGGTTCCAATAAATGCAAGAGGAGCCGGGCACTCAGCTGACTGGTCATTCTCCAACTGGAAAAGGAAGTGATTTCTGTTGGTTCAGCCTCACGGACAAGGCTGTGTCGCCGTCCCAGTCACAGACCAGGGTGCGGGGACTGTGGTGCTGGAGGAAAGAGACGCGGCCCTGTTCTGGTACAGCTCGGGGTGCAGAGGGGACCATAGACCTTGAAGAAGCCGGCGTGGGTGGCGAGGTTACCATGGAGACACGCAAAGCATTGTGGGAAGGTACAGTGGGCGGGGCCGACTTGTCCAGAGATTGGGAAGGTGTTCCCGATGAAGAGGCGTTTCAACCAAGACCCAGGGGATTGGAGTGGGGGAAAAGTGAGGGTGGAAAAGTGATGTGTCTCAGAGACCCTGAGTCGGGATTGAGCAGTTCAAGTTCTAGGACCCTGAGAAGGCCAGTGTAGCCCGAGAGCCGAGGGAGGAGGAGGGGAGAGCAAACTGTGAGTTAAGCTTCCAAAGTAGGCGGGGCGGGGGTGGGGGGCGGAGCAGACCGTGCAAGGACTTCCCTGCAGGCCAGGGGAAGACCCAGGGTTCACCGTGGGGATAGTAGGGGCTGTGTGGGGCTGGAAGTAGGAGGGATTTATGTTTGTAAGAGAACTTCCCCCCCACCCCCCGCAGGGTAGAAATAAATTAGGCAAGACTGGGGCCTGGACATCAAACTCCTATAATCGCCCAGGTGGCCTGGGCCAGGGGAACAGAAGTGGGGTGGAGAGAACGTGACCTGCTCGGAGATATTTAGAAGGTAGGATCCACCTGACTAGTTCAGGGGAAGGAGGAGCAAGGATGGTCAGTAGCCAGCTTTGCGGCTTGGGTGCCCAGTGTAATCCGTTTGATTACACCAGGATGCCTCAATGATTTTCACCTGGTTTGCATTGGCGATGTCAATAGATTTCACTGGTGACAGCCACCAAGGTGGGGATCAGCAGGGAGAGATGCTGGTTTCAGGGGAGGATGACAAGTTCAGTTCTGATCCACTGCAAGGTGAAGACAGATGTCCCCACAGCCCCTACTTTTTAGGGGCAAGGAAAAGGAGCCACAGAGTCAGCAAGTGGCTTGGCTAACTAGGGTCAGCTAATGAGTGGAAGCCAGCCCAGTGCTGTCCATTGGCCCATACTCCCTTATCAGAGCTCCATCGGCGGGTTCTCAAGATCATTGTGCTCATTGTTTTGAAAGCTCTTTTATTCTTCAGCCTTAAATTCCAAGACGAGGTCAGAAAAATATGTAGATGTCCTGGACACTTGAGCAACCTGTGAACAACCCTCTGGGGCTAGGGAGTCTCCATCTGCTGGTGTGGGGGGATCACCCCCGCTTTAGCAACAGCAAAGGCTCAATCACCGCCACCAGAAAGTGCTGCTCTTTGTGGAGGACGGCCTTGAGAATCATCATAATACTTAAGGATGCAGTGTTTCCTATGAGCCAGGCATTCTGCTGGATACTGGGCATTATTTCATTGATGGAGGTGTGATTATTAATATCCCCAGAGTATGGATGAGGACACTGAGGCCACAAAGTAAGAGTAGGGTTAGTACTCGAACCAGAGGCCCTTTGATGACACCAGAATGCCTCAGATTTTTACCTGGACCTGGACCTGATAGGACCTGATAGGATCTGATAGGACCTGATAGGACAGAGAATTCTGGGATCGCACAGCATCAGAGCATCTAGTCCAGCAGTTTTGGCAGGAGGAGAGAAGCTAGCTGCCCAAGATGCCGCTCCAGCATCAGACATAGAGGCCACCCAGGAGCCACCTCAGAGAGAGAAGGCCCAGGGTGGGGAAGAAGCAAAGGGCTCAAGGCCTCACTCCAGTGCTCTTTCCCAAGCTGTGTGTTGGGCTCCTGCTGTGCCTCCTGGGCTCACTAGCCATCGGTGTTTCTAGAATTGCAATGTTCCAGTAATTGCAAAGCCAGAATAGAGACCCACTAGGTGGGATTTTTTTTTTTTTTTTTTTAGGCTGTGCTGGGTCTTCATTGCAGTGCACAGGCTTTCTCTAGTTGCAGCAAGCAGGGGCTACCCTTCATTGCTGGAGAGGGCATCTCACTGTAGTGGCTTCTCTTGTTGTGGAGCACAGGCTGTATGGTACCCACAGTAGTTGTGGTGCCCGGGCCTAGTTTCCCCTCTGCATGTGGAATCTTCTAGGCCCAGGGATCAAACCCGTGTCCCCTGCACTGGCAGGCGAATTCTTCACTGGACCACTTTAAAACAACAGCAAAGTGAATGATCTAGGGAGCAGTCTAGAAGAAGGCAGACACCTGCCTTCTACTCTTTTGACATCTGACCTCTACTTCTCTCCCCTACCCCTCTGTCCACTCCTCTTGGTCCCTGAGACAATGGACCACCCAGGCTTATTACCGCAGTTCTTTTTCCCATTTCTGGCGAGGAACAGTGCACCAGGTTCTCCAGGGGTGGAAACCTTAGCTCCAGTGAGAAACCAATGGAAAAGAATAGACAAAACACCTATCAAATTTAAAAACTTATTTTAATCATTAGCAGAATAGCGAGCAGTCTGATGTGTGTGGCACCCCATTTGTGGAGTGAGTGGGGATGACTTAATTACAAACACTTTAAAAAAGTCCCTTTTATAAATGGCCGGGCCCTGAATAACTGATTCTCAATAGCATCCAGTGCTCCCGAGACATTTGTTTGTTTCCTCTGATGGATGTGTTCTGAACCTGTTCTCAACCAGCTATGCTGGGAACCAGCTAGGAATTCACCCAGCCCAACTTTCTAGGTGCTAATAAGCCAGTGAGAAACAGAAGAGACTTTTACAGAATGAAAAAACTAGGGCATATATCTTAATGATTGAATTGTGGATAATCTGGACACAAAAAAGAAACCTTTGCTTTGTTATGTGCTTGCCTAAGGTCATTGCTTCAGTTTCCCCTGGTGCAGAGCAGAGCCAGGACTGGGGGGAGGGGAGGATGGGCACTTCAGGTGCAAAATTTAAGGTGGGTGACCAAAAGCTCAGTAATCAACATAAATAATACTTTGATGTAATCATTTTAAAATAAAAATTAATGTTAAAATGTCCATTATGAGCAAAATATTTTTTAAAAAATTTCTTTCTGGCTGCTTTCTGCATCATGCAGGATCTTAGTTCCCCAACCAGGATAGAACCCACACGCCCTGCAGTGGAAGCATGGAGTCTTAACCACTGGACCACCAGGGAAGTTCCTCAAAAATTTTTAAAGTCAGGACCAGACCCTGCATTTATATCTCATGGTCCCATGTACTCCACCCTCATCCTGGCCTGGTTCCAATAAAATATCCTTTTTATGAATGGGCCATGGGCTGTAGCTCGCAGAATTGTTGTTGCTTTTTTATCACATTAAAATAGTACTTGACGATTGTGGAGTTTTGTTTTTATTTTTAGTACTCTCTTCCATTTTGCACCTGAACTGAGTTCCTCACGTGCCTCACCCTGGTCCTGTCCTGCTGCCAAGTGTCCTTGACCATGGAGTTGCCAGGTGACATACCAGATGTGCAATTAGACTTGAATTTCACGTAAAATATATCCCATGGGATATACTTAGGCAATACTATTATTCATTGATCCAAAATTCAAATTTAATTGAGGATTGTGTATTTTTAATTGCTGAATCTGGCAACCATACTTGATAAGCATCATACCTCCCGTCCCCCTAAAATAAGGCAGGATTTGGCCCAACAGCAATACATCCTGCCCACCCACTCACGTACAGTTCACATATTACAAAAGCTACACTCCTAAACACCGACACCATATGCTCTATGTTTCCATAGAGCATTCCTCCTTTGACCTTCCTCAGCTTCTCGTCTTACAGTTTCAGTCACTGAACTTGTCCCTAAGCCTGGGCCCTCCTCTGCCTCCAGAAACATCCTCCACTCAGGGCCTGCAGCACAACTCATTCCCCGTCAGCATACCGGGCTCCCTAGCCCTTGCCCCCTCAGCACCCCCTTGACATGTCCAGATCACCCACAGTCCTCTCGTTTCAGCTGGGTACCTTCCAGCTCTTAGCATAATTTCCATAGGAGGAGTAGAATTCTTATCAGTGGAGACTTGGGCCAGGGAGAGCAGTGGTTAAACCCCCCAGGGAAGCAGGTACAGCCATTGATGGCAAACCAAACATGGCAGGGAACAATAGACAAGTGAGGCTTGAAGAAGTCAAACTCAGAAAGGCAGGTGGAGCCAGAAAGGTGAGAAAACCACCAATGGCAACTTTGAGAGGGGCCCTGGGAGCTGGGGCCAACACTCCAAGGAAGGATGGGCTTGTCTCGGGTCAAACAGAACTTCCATGGAGTGGGATCCGCACTGTCAGAGGAGGAGGGCAGGCAGGTCACAGCCTAACCGCTGAATGCAGAATGCTGCAGGCCTCACTGGACCAGTGGCCAGCTCAGAGGGGCTTCTAGTTCCAGTGCATCCTGCCCTGGATTTTCAAAATGTAGGCTTGCAGCAGAATTACCTGAGCTGCTTGTTATACAAATCCCATCGGCCATCTAAGTGCTCAAGCGCATCTCTCAGTATCTTTGCCATGAATGAGTCAGACTCTGCATGTGAAACACTTGGCAGGTGGTCCTGGGACACCCTGCTCCTGACTTCAGGTGGACACCTGGTGCCACGAAGGGGAAAGGAAGGGGAGCGCTAGCCTCTGTTTCCGAGCAGACATCTCTCTGAGTCCTCAGGCTCCGGGCACTCGAATTTGGGGCCAGCCTGGGGGGCTGGTGGTCATTCCGGAAAACACACCTGCGGGGGTGATGAGGATGACAAGGGCAGGCAGAAGTGGTGAGGGTATGCAGCCTCTGTCTACGGAGCATGGAAAGCCTGGAAAGAGTCGTGGCATCGGGAGAGAGCAGGGTGTGCTGGAAGGATGCTCAGCCTGCATCATCCAGCTTGGCTGCCGCCTCCCTCAAGTGCTCAGGAGTCCCTGGGAACCGGTGCAGTGGGCTCCTGCCTAGATCTCACTCTCTTCGAAGATCTCCTCCATGGTGTGCACCAGGGTGAAGTCGCCCTCGCTGCTCTCCGACAGGCTGCTGCCGCGGGGCCAGGCTGCGTGGCCTTGACGGGGCGGGGCACCCACCACCCCCAGGCCCTCCCGGGTCAAGTGCAGGAGCCGCCCACCACCGGGCAAGGGCTGCGCCTTCTGCAGTGACCCGGAGTTGGTCCCCTCCGAGAGCTTCTTGGGACATTTCCCCAGGAATCGGAAGTTCTTCCCTAGGACCCAGGCTCTGCAGCCTGAGTGGTGGGCCAGCAAGAAGCGGGCCCACTGCTTCCGCAGCTCGGCCTTTACCTGCCAGGTGAGAAGAGAGCAGGGTTACTGCCCGGGAATCACTGAATCCTGCGTCCACTCAGCAAATGTGTGTTGAGTGGCTACTCAGGACCACCCTTTGGAAACCTGCGTTCTCACTAGGGGAAAGGAACAGAGAAGCAGACACCTGTGAGCAGAGCAGAGGGTAGTAACACCTGAGGCTGTTAAGCAAGACCATGGGAGGAGGCAACAAAAATATGAGACACAGTGTTTAGAAAAGGACTGTGTCAAGGTGGCATTTGAGACCTGCCTGGTGAATCAAGGGACCCTGTGTGAAGATACAGAAAAGGCAGCAGCGAGCAAGACAGGCGAGGTTTTGCTCTCAAGCAGCGTAGATTCTAGTGGAAGGAGGCAGAGACCAATATTTAAACCTGGGATGGGGAGAGGGGAGGATGAAAGGGAGCTAGAAATCCCACCGGCTCCTAAGTCAGGAGCAAACTGCTCTGGCCTGCCCTTCCCCCTTTCAAGCCTCTTTCCAAGTGAGCAGAGAGCTGACTGACGCTCTGCAATAATAATAAATATAACCATTGTTATGAGGCAGAGGACCTTTACCACGCACACCCCAGGGTAACACTGCAGGCTAGGGACTGTTGCTACTCCCATTTTACAGACTGAGGTTCCAAGAGCCATGGTGACCTAACGCAGAGCTCCTAAGCGGGTGAGTCTTCTCGGCTTGATGCAAACTTTTGGACTCTAGACTTGTAGCTGGTTCCCTCTATCACACTTTGATCCTCCTGGCATAGTCCAGCGGGGCCACGGTTGGCTTCTGTAAAGAAAACTCACCCCAACACCTTGCCTCCGGAGTCTAAGCTACCTCTTCTTCTCTCCACTGGACACCCGAGGTGCCCATTTGTCCCAACACATGCTGGCCACTGCAGGTCTCCCCATGGCACTGTCATATAAACTGAACCCTCCAGGGGGCAGCAGGATGCCAGCCCCAGCCTCGAAAGGAAGCTGGAAGTCAGCACGGAAAACTTACCTCTCCATTAGCAAAGCAATACTGCCAGGCCACCAGTAGCCCCTGGAATGAAAGGAAGAGGTGGTGTGAAGCTCAACTCGGTAGAAGATGTGTCTGAGGGTCACTTGGAACATCTGCAGGCCGGCCCTAGTCTCAGCAGCTTCTACAACAGGCAGGCAGCTACTTGCTTGTGCTAACTAGAGTTAGTCTAGTTAGTACGTACTGGTGATGTTAACTCGGATTTCCGTGGGGGTCTCTTCTTACTTTGACACCCACCACCCACATCAGCCAAGGCATTTGCTTAGGTGGTCATAGGTCAGTGATGTGTGTGTGTGTGAGTCGCTCAGTCATGTCCGACTCTTTGCAACCCCATGGACTGTAGCCTGCCAGGCTCTTCTATCCATGGGATTCTCCTGGCAAGAATACTGGAGTGTGTTGTCATTCCCTTCTCCAGGGGATCTTCCTGACCCAGGGATCAAACCCAGGTCTCTTGCATTGCAGGCAGATTTTTTACCATCTGAGTCACCAGGGGAAGCCCAACATCATTTATTCAATTATACAAATACTGAAAAAGGCAACTGTCCCATTTCTACTTGTTCATAGTGGGCAATAAAGCTATTTTTGTATTTTGCCTGACTTGCATCCTTTCCTGACCCTCCCCCACTCCCTGGGCTTCTGGTAGGGCTGTCAATCATGTGGTCCTCATGTTCTGTGAAAGCTATCACCACCATAAGCTGCTCAAATGGTTATGTGACCCTAGCAGGGCCAATCACAATTCTTTTCACCAACAAAGAAGGCTTCGTCTCTTCCCCGCATTGGCCAAGTTGAGAGTCAAAGTCAGTCTGGAGACACTCAAGGGCATCTCTCCCAGCCACACGGGGTGAGCCGCTCCAAGGATAAAGCCAACAAAGAGAAACGCTGAGGCTGGAGATCATCAGGAGATGGGTTTCAGCGATACTGCTATGGCTTTGCCTGAGACACGAGGGTCTCTGGGACTTAGGCTGTGTGTCTGATACACGGGAGCTCAATATACGTGCAGGACCCAAGGGCTTGAGTGTTTATGGGAAGAACGTCATAAAATGCCAGGACTCACAAGGAAAGGACATGTTTCCAAACAGAAAGTGAAGGTCATGGTGTAGGCTGACTCTTCCATCCCTCATGATAACATTTCTCTCATTTGCTGTTGCTGGGGTGGGAGGTTTGGTGCTAGGAATGGAGCTGGAATTGAAAAGGAATTATAAAATGTTGCTCTGGGGGGGCGGGTGTTGATTTTTATGCTCGTCCTCGTGGAAGCCAGAGATCGCCACGCGGGCTGACACGACATCAGTCACGTGTTTGGATTCTGCCCAGGGGCAGGGAATTTTCCTTCTCCTGGGCACCTTTATTCCATGGCTACAGAATGGCTCTGCTCTAGGGCTCCTAAAGGGGGCACAGTGCAACTAATTTTACCATTCTCACACACTCGGCCTCCTTGGAGGGTCAGAGCTGCCTTGTGCAGTTGGCAGGGCAGGTGTTATTTGCCTCTGGGTCTAGGATATTAGAACAGGGTGCTGGAACTCTCATGAATCAGTTGGCTAAAATAGGATTCCACATCACAAGTGTGTCTTTCACTTCTTCACGTTCCTGAGTCACGGTTAGAGGAACAAGCTGGCGTCTGGTTAATTCTTGTTCTAGATGAAGCAGGTGTGAAGGGCTCGGCCCCATGAGCAGATGGCTCTCACCCCATGTCGCACCATGTGGCAGTCTCTCCAGAGATCCCTTGAGAGCAGCGGGGGGCTGATGAAATCCTCTAAGCAATAAGACCTTGGGAGAGCGAAGACCCCCCCCACCAAAGCAGTTCAGTTCAGTTGCTCATTCGTGTCCGACTCTTTGCGACCCCATGAACCGCAGCACGCCAGGCCTCCCTGTCCATCAACAACTCCCGGAGTCCACCCAAACCCATGTCCATTGAGTCAGTGATGCCATCCAACCATCTCATCCTCTGTCGTCCCCTTCTCTTCCTGCCCTCAATCTTTCCCAGCATCAGGATCTTTTCCAATGAGTCAGCTCTTCACATCAGGTGGCCAAAGTATTGGAGTTTCAGCTTCAGCATCAGTCCTTCCAGTGAACACCCAGGACTGATCTCCTTTACGATAGACTGGTTGGATCTCCTTGCAGTCCAAGGGACTCTCAAGAGTCTTCTCCAACACCACATTCAAAAGCATCAATTCTTCAGCGCTTAGCTTTCTTTATAGTCCAACTCTCACATCCACACATGCCTACTGGAAAAACCACAGCCTTGACTAGATGGACCTTTGTTGGCAAAGTAATGTCTCTGCTTTTTAATATTCTATCTAGGTTGGTCATAATTTTCCTTCCAAGGAGTAAGTGTCTTTTAATTTCGTGACTGCAATCACCATCTGCAGTGATTTTGGAGCCCAATAAAATAAAGTCAGCCACTGTTTCCACTGTTTCCCCATCTATTTGCTGTGAAGTGATGGGACCAGATGCCATGATCTTAGTTTTCTGAATGTCAAAGCAGTAAGGAAAGGAAACTGTTGGGTCCAGTGCTGATTCCTGTGGCGGAGCTGCTAAGACACAGCCCTCTGATTCTGCACCTGCTCACGTGCCCACCTGAGCTCCCGCCCCTGCCGGTGGACAGGAGGGAGGAGCACAGGGGTGTTCAGAAGGAGGGCAGCCTCTGCCCCGGCACGAGGCTCTCAGTGTGCTTCTGGCTCTCTCTGGAGAGCCCGTCTGATTCCTCACCCTCCTCAGCAGTGCTCTGGGGGAGCAGGGCTGCAGGACCAAGTGATCAGTGCGGTAGCTGGTCTCCAGAGACCGCCCCAAGGTTTTCTCCCCTCCCTTTATGTGACTCTGAACATCAAGAGGTGGATCTTATCTTCTCTCCCCTCGAGGCTGGGATGATCTTGTGACTCTTCCTGTGAGCACAATGTGGTGGGAAGTGACATTCTGGGAATTCTGACCCTCCCTCTTAGAGCACTTGCTCTGCAGATTTTCTGGGAGTCCAGCTGCCATGCTTCGAGGAACACAACATACATGGAGAAGCCACGTGGAGGAGGATGGAGGTTCTCTAATCCATATCCTCAGCGGAGCTCCCAGACGACAGCCCATGGCAACATCCAGCATGTGAATGAGCAGTCTTGGATGTTCCAGCCCAATCCAGCCTTCAGATGTTTGCTCAGTTCAGTTCAGTTCAGTCAGTCATATCCAACTCTTTGCGACCCCATAAATCACAGCATGCCAGACCTCCCTGTCCATCACCAACTCCCAGAGTTTACTCAAACTCATGTCCATCGAGTCAGTGATGCCATCCAGCCATCTCATCCTCTGTCATCCCCTTCTCCTCCTGCCCCCAATCCCTCCCACCATCAGGATCTTTTCCAATGAGTCAGCTCTTCACATCAGGTGGCCAAAGTATTGGAGTTTCAGCTTCAGCACCAGTCCTTCCAATGAACACCCAGGACTGATCTCCTTTACGATGGACTGGTTGGATCTCCTTGCAGTCCAAGGGACTCTCAAGAGTCTTCTCCAACACCACAGTTCAAAAGCATCAATTTTTCGGCACTCAGCTTTCTTCACAGTCCAACTCTCACATCCATACATGCCTACTGGAAAAACCACAGCCTTGACTAGATGGACCTTTGTTGGAAAAGTTTTGTCTCTGCTTTTTAATATGCTGTCTAGGTTGGTCATAACTTTCCTTCCAAGGAGTAAGTGTCTTTTAATTTCATGGCTGCAATCACCATCTGCAGTGATTTTGGAGCCCAAATAAAGTCTGACGCTGTCTCCAGTATTTCCCCATCTATTTGCCATGAAGTGATGGGACCAGGTGCCATGATCTTAGTTTTCTGAATGTTGAGCTTTAAGCCAACTTTTTCACTCTCCTCTTTCACTTTCATCAAGAGGCTTTTTAGTTCCTCTTCACTTTCTGCCATAAGGGTGGTGTCATCTGCATATCTGAGGTTTATTGATATTTCTCCTGGCAATCTTGATTCCAGCTTGTGCTTCTTCCAGCCCAGCGTTTCTTATGATATACTCTGTATATAAGTTAAATAAGCAGGGTGACAATATACAGCCTTGACGTACTCCTTTTCCTATTTGGAACCAGTCTGTTGTTCCATGTCCAATTCTAACTGTTGCTTCCTGACCTGTATATAGGCTTCTCAAGAGGCAGGTCAGGTGGCCTGGTGTTCCCATCTCTTTGAGAATTTTCCACAGTTTATTGTGATCCACACAGTCAAAGGCTTTGGCATAGTCAATAAAGCAGAAATAGATATTTTTCTGGAACTCTCTTGCTTTTTTGATGATCCAGCAGATGTTGGCAATTTGATCTCTGGTCCCTCTGCCTTTTCTAGAACCAGCTTGAACATCTGGAAGTTCACAGTTCACATATTGCTGAACCCTGGCTTGGAGAATTTTGAGCATTACTTTACTAGCATGTGAGATGAGTGGAATTGTGCTGTAATTTGAGCATTCTTTGGCATAGCGTTTCTTTGGGATTGGAATGAAAACTGACCTTTTCCAGTCCTGTGGCCACTGCTGAGTTTTCCAAATTTGCTGGCATATTGCATGCAACACTTTCACAGCATCACCTTTTAGGATTTGAAATAGCTCAACTGGAATTCCATCATCTCCACTAGATTTGTTCGTAGTGATGCTTTCTAAGGCCTACTTGACTTCACATTCCAGGATATCTGTCTCTAGGTGAGTGATCACACCATCGTGATTATCTGGGTCGTGATGATCTTTTTTGTACAGTTCTTCTGTGTATTCTTGCCACCTCTTCTTAATATCTTCTGCTTCTGTTAGGTCCATACCATTTCTGTCCTTTATTGTGCCCATCTTTGCATGAAATGTTCCCTTGGTATCTCTAATTTTCTTGAAGAGCTCTCTAGTCTTTCCCATTCTGTTGTTTTCCTCTATTTCTTTGCATTGATCCCTGAGGAAGGCTTTCTTATCTCTCCTTGCTATTCTTTGGAACTCTGCATTCAAATGGGAATATCTTTCCTTTTCTCCTTTGCTTTTCACTTCTCTTCTTTTCACAGCTATTTGTAAGGCCTCCTCAGACAACCATTTTGCCTTTTTGCATGTCTTTTCCATGGGGATGGTCTTGACCCCTGTCTCCTATACAATGTCACGAACTTCAGTCCATAGTTCATCAGGCTCTCTGTCTATCAGATCTAGATCCTTAAATCTATTTCTCACTTCCACTCAGATGTTTGCAGCCTCCTTCAAAGATGACATGTATCAGAAGGATCACTCTGACAGCCCAGCTCACAGAATCATTCAGGATAATAACATAGTTACTGCTTCAAGCTATGACTTTCGGGGCTAGTTTGATACACAATAATGGTGACCCAAACATGCTTCCAGTCACCAGAGAGTTTGATAGGCTAGGATTCTTTCTCAGAAATCTGACCCACAAGATTCCACATGAGTGTCTGATCTTCAGCTGGCTTTGGGTAAGTGAGATCAGCTGATCGAGGGGTCACTTGATGGATCAAGCTTTCTGAGGAAAAAAGGGCACCCAATACTTCTGACAGAACAGCTGCAGGCTTTTGTTTTGTTGTTGCTGTTTCTCATTTGGGATTACTTTTTAAAGAAGATTAAGACCAAGCAACATAGGAAAACCAAATGACTAATCTATAGCCTTTGAAATCCCCCAAAAGATTGAAATAAACATGGTTTCAAAATGAAAAAAATTATCAGGGTGTGCTCAGTCTCTGTTCAAAACCACATGCCATTCAGCTGTAACAGAATGAAAAAAGAGCCATCATCCAGTGACCCCTACCGTACCTCAGGCTCTGTCTACCTGGCCTCTGGTGAGTGTGCAGTGGTCAGGTCCATTTTCTCACTCTGCCCACAGAATCTCAGTAGCTGACAGTGTCTGCTGGTAGCGGCTTCAGGACTCTGACGTAGGGACTTCCCTGGTGGTCCAGTGGCTAAGACTCCATGCTCCCAATGCAGGGAATCCAGGTTCAATCCCTGGTTAGGTGACTAGGTCCCACATGCAGCAACTACAGTTCACATGGTACAACTAAAAGATTCTGCATGCCTCCACTGAGACAAGGTGCAGCCAAATACAGAAATAAAAGTAAATATTAAAAAAAGACTCTGATATAGGAAGCTTGGTTCTGACCTTCACAGAGCACCTGAGAAACCCTACTGCATAGTGGTTACAAGCAAGGCTTAATCTCTGAATGCAAATCTCACCTCTGCTACTTGTTGGCATATGCAAAAGTTCCTCTGAGCCACAGATCTTTCAACTCTAAAACGATAGAATAATCACTCCCTCACAGTGAGAATGTGAGGATTCAATGACATTTATTTGACCCAAACAAACCACTTCTGGTGGCAAAGAATTCCCCTGCCAATGCAGGAGATGCAAGAGACATGGGTTTGATCCCTGGGTCAGGAAGATCTCCTGGAGAAGGAAATGGCAATCCACTCCAGTATTCTTGCCTGGAGAATCCCATGGACAGAGGAACCTGGTTGGCTACAGTCCATGGGGTCACAAACGGTGAGACATGACTGAGCACAGCACAGAAAATCACTTCATCTAGCCTCAGCCATCCGAGCCTTCAAAGCTTAGGCTCTAGATGAGTGGGGAAGTCATCTAGAAAGTTCAGCCCATGAATCCCATGGAAGAGAGGTGAGACAGACCTACTATGTCCTACCTGGATTCCTGACCCCAAGTCATGAGAAATAATAAAGATGACTGTCATTTTAATCTGCTAAGTAATGGATGACAATTTAAGCGATGGATGAGCAAAACGCCTAGGTACGTCAACCACAGCTGGCCTCTTGTTTCAGCTCCCACACAACTGTCAAGGTTCAAGAGCCTCCTGGTCTCTACTCACTGTTCAGTTTGCCCAAGCTCTGCAGAGAACTCAGCAAAAATAGGCATTTGATAAAAGACTCCATACTGACACTCGCAGAGAAAATGACTGTGAGTCACACCAACTATTACACAGCAGGAAACAAACCACTTTTCCTTTCGTAGTCACCAAGTCATGCTGGCAGGATTAAAGCAACATTTCCCTCTCCACACCCTCCTAATTTGAAAGGCCCTTGCTGATCAATCCTGCCGTTACTTGAACTCTTTTTCCACCTGTAGGCTCTCGAAATTCTGAGTCTGTCTGGATCAAAGGCATTAGGCTTTCTACAAAGGTAAGAAGTCCTTGCTCAGACATCTACTTACATGGAAGGAGCCCAGGGTCAGTTGAATGTAGAGTCGTATAAGTCTTGGAAATCCTTCAACTTGATCGTCAGTGATGAAGGAGAAGAGAATCTCATGAACACCCAATAGAGGGATGAGGACCAGTGTGGACTTGGCCAATCTGCAAATAACAACCAAACAGGTGTCATGAAAGCCACCCTGGGAACAGGCAACATTTCCTGCTTTTCTGTACCGATTGTGCTCAGTCGTTCAGTCATGTCTGACTCTTTGTGACCCCATGAACTGCAGCCCAACAAGCTCCTCTGGCCATAGGGATTCTCCAGGCAAGAATACTGGAGTGGGGTTGCCATCCCCTCCTCCAGGGGGTCTTCCCAAGCCAGGGATTGAACCCAGGTCTCTCACATTGTAGGCGGATTCTTTACCATCTGAACCACCAGGGAAGCCCAAGAACACTAGAGTGGGTAACCTATCCCTTCTCCAGGGGGAATTTCTCAACCCAAGAATTGAACTGGGGTCTCCTGCACTGCAAGGGGATTCTTTACCAGCTGTGCTACCAGGGAAGCCCTTTAGTGTAGCTCTAATCATATTGATAAATAGTTGGGTTTTGTTTGTCTCCTTGGGTACCTACACAATGAATGCTCTAAGAGCCAGTATGGTCTTGTTCACAGGTGCATCCCCACACCTGACTCATGGAAGATGCTCAGAAAACATGAATTAGATGGATGAATGAATGAATGGATTCCCCCATACAGATTATGATATACCTACAGATCTTTTTATATATATATATATTTATTTATTTATTTGACTACAACAGGTCTTCTTTGTGGATGCAGCTTCTTTAGTTTTGGCATGCAACTTCTTGGTTGCAGCATGTGGAGTCTAGTTCCCTGACCAGGGATCAAACTCTGGCCTCCTGCATTGAGGGCCTGGAGTCTTAGCCACTGGACCACCAGGGAAGTCCCATACCTACAGATCTTAACATTTTGTTTGATGGATATATTTACATGTACATGATTTTCCCCCTGGGATATTACACAAGTTTCCTATTACCTGGCTAGCAAGTGCCTCTACTTCTTCCTCTATTCAGGACTTCCAATGTCAATGCCTTACAGAGCCTGAAAAGGGAAAGAAAATGACTTGCCCAAGGTCACACAGCCACTAAGTGGTACCTCCCAGCCTGGAAGCGGGGCATCTGACCTCACACTCAGGCCTTGCACACTACAAGCAGGATTTCATCATCTGTCCCCATGCTGCTCCCAACCCAACAGCAAGGGCAGCAGGAAATGAGAAACTGATCCTTCTCGTAAAAAGCACCGTGTGGACACTCGCTGTTGTATACACTCTACACAAAAAGACAAACATTCCTTTGTACCACCCACGTGCAAATGCACAGCTGGGGCCCAGACATTCCGTACCGCATACCGGCGGTTCCCAAATGGGCTATTAGAACTCCTACAAAGTTTTGAAAAAAAAAAAATATATATATATATATATATATATTTTTTTTTTTTTATTGGTTGGCTCTCAATACAGCTTCCTGGGCCCCGTGTCAACCCCCTGAATCTCTGGATGTTGGGTCCAGGGAATGAGGATTTGTAAAGGACTCCCCATGGGATATCAAGCAGCCACATTTGGAAACAACTGCTCTTCACTGTTGAGCAGCTTCTTACTTTCAAACTAACTACATGAGCAAAGGTGACTCACATTTGGGGCATAAACAAAGCTACTGTCTGATACACATTTGGGGAAAAAAGAGCTTAAATGTAATGATTTTTTTTTTTTTTTTGCCCAAGTCACTAGTCTTAAAGGGCCAGACTAGGAGAAGATTCCTTTCTCCTCACTGAATAAAAACCCCGTGGAGTTAAAGATGTGGAGGGACTTCCCTGGCAGTCCAGTGGTTAAGACTCTGCACTTCTGCTGCAGGGGGTGAGGTTTCAATCCCTGGTCAGGAAACTAAGATTCCACATGCTGCATCTTGAAGTAAAAAAAAAAAAAAAAGATGTGGGAACAGAGAGGGTCAGCAGCCCTCATGCGCAGTATCTTCAGGAAGATTTAATTTTATCCAAGAGAAAGCATCTACTATGACTCTTGTGTTTGAACATTATCAATGAAATAAAAACCCTCACCTTTGTACCCTAGAAGGACCTACAGCCAATAAGAGTTGGGCAGGAGTCACCAAGGAGGGGGACGCCTCCTAACCCTAGCACGTGGGCTGAGCGTCCCAGGACCGAGCACCGGGACCAAGGAGTAGAGAATCTGAGATGCAGCCACCGGTTACGTGGTCCTCCTGAGCCGAGCTCACGCCTACTAGCGCTCCCACACCCACCTGTGCACACTCACTTAGCTTAGCCACATTAAGGTGTTCCCAAGCAGAGACTATGTCAAGAGTCTCGGGGTTTGCTTGTTTGTTTCTCTAATTTTCAGGAGTGTTTTAAATCCCTTTAGCTCAGAAATTGCAAATTGGCATCCATGGGTTATATTTGACCTGCTGACAGCTTTTGCTTATGCTAAGTAGTGATCTTTGCTATTGCAGCTGCCCTTAAACAATGAGATTTCAAGCAACAGGTCCAGACGTTCAGCTTTCTTTTGGAAAGTGGGGAGATCTGGCCAGGCTGGGCCCCAATTCCTTGTTGCCAATCGTCATCTACAGCGTTTAGAGGGAGCACGGTTTCTCCAACCCAAACAGACTGGCCCTTGCAAGCATGTGAGTCTTTGGCCCTTGCTCTGAGTTATTTTTAAAATATTTACTTATTTATAAAAATATTAAAATATGTATTTATTTATTTATGGGTTATTTTTAAAAAAGATTTATTTAGCTGTATTGAGTCTTAGTTGTGGCACATGAGATCTAGCTCCCAGACCAGGGATCAAACCCACACTTCCCTGCATGAGGAGCTCAGAGTCTTAGTCACTGGACTACCATGGCAGTCCCTATTTTGGATTTTAATAACACATACTTTCATGCATGTCTTATCATCAACTTATTCTCAGGGTCATGCTATGACATTATGTTTTTTAAACAAACTGTTCATCTTGAAGTACTTTTAGATCTACAGAAAAGTAGCAAAGATCACACAGAGACTTCCCACATACCCTTCACTGTTTCCCCTAATGTTAAAATCTCACAGACCCACGGGACCTTTGGCAGCATTAGGAGGCCAGAGTTGGCACATGGCCAATAACCATCCTCCAGACTCTACCCAGACTTCACCAGCTTTTCCAGTAATGTCCTTTTCACATTCCAGAATCCAGCCCAAAGTCCCCACACTTAGCATGGAAGAATTGTTAAGGAATGACCGACCATCTTCGAATGACTTTTTGGGTCATTTTAATAACTGCTACCTCTCTGTGCATATTCCAAAGGAATTTCCCATTCCTCATATGATTCTGAGTTCTCCTTGGACAAAAGACTATTTACATCTCTGTTTGGATGAAAATCCATAAACACCTATAGCAGCTCGTCTTATGAACTGTGTTTATGCCCCTTTTTCATCTACAGTCATTTGTTTATTTTAATGGCTTAGTTTATTGCAGTCGGTTAGCTCTTCAACTGGAGAAGGAAATGGCAACCCACTCCAGTATTCTTGCTTGGAGAATCCCAGGGACAGAGGAGCCTGGTGGGCTGCCGCCTATGGGGTCGCACAGAGTCAGACACAACTGAAGCGACTTAGCAGCAGCAGCAGCTCTTCAACAAATGTTTATTAGGCATCTGTTCTGGACATGTGAGCGAGTACAGAAAGGAGGAGGAGGAGCTGGGGTCAAAGGCAGTGGGACATGAAGACAGTACCTGGGGCCGGGGTTTGAATCCCAGTACTGCAGATTACTAGCGATGTGGCCCTGGGCAAATTATTTAACATCTCTACCTGTAAAAAATGAGGATTATACTACTACTAATATCATATGAAATGTTAATAAAAATATTATTATTAATAATAATTCCTAACATTGCCATTTTAAGGACTAAATAACATGGGGCCAACCCTCAGACTAAACCATACCCGATATGTGATGCATGATCAATAGCATTTAGTTGTCACTATTTTTATTTTTTTATTTTTTATTTTTTTTCCATTTATTTTTATTAGTTGGAGGCTAATTACTTTACAACATTGCAGTGGTTTTTGTCATACATTGAAATGAATTAGCCATGGATTTACATGTATTCCCCATCCCGGTCCCCCCTCCCACCTCCCTCTCCACCCCATCCCTCTGGGTCTTCCTAATGCACCAGGCCCGAGCACTTGTCTCATGCATCCAACCTGGGCTGGTGATCTGTTTCACCCTAGATATACATGTTTCGATGCTGTTCTCTTGAAACATCCCACCCTCGCCTTCTCCCACAGAGTCCAAAACTCTGTTCTATAAATCTGAGTCTCTTTTTCTTTTTTTGCATATAGGGTTATCGTTAACCATCTTTCTAAATTCCATATATATGTGTTAGTATACTGTAATGGTCTTTATGTTTCTGGCTTACTTCGCTCTGTATAATGGGCTCCAGTTTCATCCATCTCATTAGAACTGATTCAAATGAATTCTTTTTAATGGCTGAGTAATATTCCTTGGTGTATATGTACCACAGCTTCCTCATCCATTCGTCTGCTGATGGGCATCTAGGTTGCTTCCATGTCCTGGCTATTATAAACAGTGCTGCGATGAACATTGGGGTGCACGTGTCTCTTTCAGATCTGGTTTCCTCAGTGTGTATGCCTAGAAGTGGGAGTTGTCACTATTTTTAAAGAAGCCATCTCTCCCTCAGGTTGCTCACAATCTCAGTGACTCGGATCAATTTTTCTTCCATTTGTGACATTTTTCTGAAAGTCCTTTATAAGTTCACTAAGAAATGGTTCTGGGCTTCCCTGGTGTTCCTGTGATTAAGAATTTGCCTTGCAATGCAAGGGACACCAGTTTGATCGCTGGTCCAGGAAGATGCCACATGCGGGAGGGCAACTAAGGCCACCACAACTTTTGAGCCTGAACTCTGGAGCAACTGCGGGAGCCCGTGCCCCACAACAAGAGAAGCCACTGCAATGAGAAGCCCATGCACCGTAACCAGAGGGTAATCCTGTTCTCCACAACTAGAGAAAATCTGCAGGCACAGCAACGAAGACCCATCACAACCAAAGACAAATAAATATATTTTTTTAAAGATATGTACTTTAAAAGCTAAAATAAAAATAAATGTTAAAAAAGACATGATTCTCCTTTTTAAGTTCATTAAGAGTCCTGCCCCGTGCATCACACGGGAAGTTAAGATCATTTATCTAGGAGGGGCGTGCCACCTCCATGCTGGGAACCACAAGGAGCAGAGAACTCCCTCCAGGCTGAGGGTCTGCTGAGGTCTGTCCACAATCCAGAGACACTGCTTCCTCTCTGGGTCTGCCTCAGCTGTCCCTTGCCAGACCATGCCGCTGGGCTGGTTACAGTTTACTGCTTGAATGATGGAAGCTGGGGAATGAGGGATAGGATTACAGAAGGTTCTGGAGTCCTAGCAACTTGCCTCTTTGGCAAGTCTCAAGTGTGTTTAATTTAAACTTCCCTAAAATATACTCCTGAAGGGGGTCCAAATCTTGAGAACTACATTCTGAAAGTTCTCAAAAACCTGGGAGAGTTGAAGGCCAGACTGTTCCTACCAGAGTTTGGACAAAATGCATTGGCTTCGTCACCCCCTTCTCCTCATCCTAGCAGGGGCCCCAGTAGAAGGGGACGTGGAAGAGGAGGACCTTCCAACATGGGGGAGGGCAGTATGAGCTGGGTGTGCTCGTGGCCCCTTGAGGTGATAGGAAGCAGCCTTCTCAGAACTTAGAAATGAGGGAGTTAGCACTGCTCGGACAGAGAGATGGGCAAATGCGTGATTCCCTGGACCAGGTGGTAAAATAAGGTGGCCTAAGAGACAGGCCCCTAGGGACTCCCCTGGTAGTCCAGTGTTTAAGAATCCGCCTTGCCATGCAGGGGCTGCAGGTTCAATCCCTGCTCAGGGAACTAAGACTCCACATGTCGCAGGGCAACTAAGCTCAAGCGCCACAACTACGGAGCCTGTGCTCTAGAGCCCACAAGCCACAACTAGAGAGTTCTCGAGATCCCATTCGATGTAACAGAGATTCGTGTGCCTCAACTAAGACCCGACGCAGTCAAACAGATAAAAATAAGTAAGTTTTTTTTTTAAAAAAAGAAAAAAGACGTTTGAGAGCCATTGTCTTGGATAACTCTGGAGAAGAGCCTGGAAAAGAGGATGTCAGGCTGCTTAGAAACATACTTGCCATGGTCCAACCAGAACATTCCATGCATCTGGTCCCATGGTCTGTGTATTCTGACCGTGTATCAGAATCTTCTAGGAACTCTCCTGCAAGAAGTCCATGGGCAGGGAACACTGGTGGTCCAGTGGTTAAAAATCTGTCTGCCGGTGCAAGGGACACAGGTTCCATCTCTGGTTGGGGATCTAAGATCCCACATGCCGTGGGGTAACTAAACGCCCGCAGTCTAGAACCTGTGCTCACAACAAGAGAAGTCCCCACGCACACAACTAGAGAAAGCCCGTACACCTCACAAAGACCCAGCAAAACAACCCCCCACCCAAAAGAAGTCCATGTATTGGGGTTCCATCCCTCGATACTGAATCAAATACCCAGTGGAGGGGTTCACAAGTCAGGGCTTTGGGGCCGGCTATCTGATGATGCTTAACATAGCCAGGATGGAAAGCTATCACCACTGAGGGTCTGCAACTCGGGGACAGCCCAGTGGTCCATGGTGGGCTTTGGCAGGGTTTAGGCACTCTGTCTGTGTGGAAGGTGGTGCCTTGACATTTGTCTGCCCCTGTTTCTGCCTCTTGGGAGTGCTGTTCTCTGATGGGTTTTCACGGTAACTGGGTTCCCTGGGTGCCTGGTTAGTGTGAGGATTCCCCAGTGAATGGACCCAGGCAGCTAGAAGCCCTGCTCTTGGTCTTGGACCTCCGCCCTCAGAGAGGGGTGAGAGACTTAGCCTTGGGAAAAGGGCCAGAGAGGCTGTCAGCCACTTACAGGCTCGGCCAGAGGCGCCCAGAAAGACACATAGTTCTGTGTGGTCCAGGCCACCCCAAGTACCCCTGGGCAACGGGGGTTTGCATAATATCTGAGCCAACAACTGTATATATTTGCCTGGTCCTGAACTGTATGTGTTTATGCTTCTGGAACTCCCAAGGGTAGGGGGTTACACTGATAGGATTTGGGGTCTGGAAACCCCAGGCGAATACTATTCATTGCATCTAATTAGATTACAACACATGTAACTAGGACCTCCTTTAACCCTCATCAGAAGTTGAGGATGGGTCTGGGGTGACTTTCCCGGGTAACACACCATAAAGCAGACCTGGGGGCCAAGCAACTTGCCCAAGGTCAACTCAGGGTGAAGGCCAGCATTGGCCCTCCTGATTCACTCTACACCCATATCCTCACCCTTGGTGAGTTGGAATGTGTGCTCCTCGCAGATGGGGTCCCCATCCTATTTTCCTTTTATTTGAAAAATAGTGACAGCACATCATAGACCCTCATTGAATGTCTGTCGGAAAAATGAAAAACTACCTTCCTAGCGTACCTGACTCAGGGTGGCTTCTGGCCTTAGAGAGGGAGAAGCCCAGTTATATAGCCACTCTCACGCACACTTCTGCCCCTGGTCTGCCACGTGGACTAAAATCTCTAAGTTTTGAGCAAAACTTTGGGTTAAAACACTGCATCCCCAAGAAGCACACACATGCTACAGAAAGCAGAATAACTGGGAAAAGAGGAGGGGATGGGGGACCTTTGTCTCGGATTCATTCAGCATTTGATTGACAGCAACGCAAAGGTAAGTAAACACCCATGATCTGACTGCAAGATGGGACCTCGGTCACCATGGAAGCAGAACAAGGGATGCAGCAAAAGTAAGTCCCAGAGAAAGCATGACTGTGTTAAAAATGTACTTCTTTGGGCTCCAAAAGTTTGTGGTCATATTACTTGCAGTCTTAAAAATACCCAAATACTCTCTTCTGAGTTGTTTCGTTGTTGTTCAGCTGCTATGTCATGACCGACTCTTGTGATCCCATAGACTGTAGCCTGCCAGGCTTTTCTGTCCATGGGATTCTCTAGGCACAGACATTGGGGTGGGTTGCCATTTTCTTCTCCAGGGCCTTCTGAGTTACGCTATGTCTTTTATTCTGTTACCTCAAATAAGGCAACTGTCCAATTCCCCTTCATGTGATTCCTTCCTATCCCTATAAACCACCCATTCTTAGGGGCATTTTTCAGTTTCCTCCTGGGAATGTGTGTGCCCTTGATTACTCACCACTGACTTCATTTTCATGGGACCAGAAGGTCATCGAACTTTAGCAAAAGCCTTACATGACACCCTGATGCTTTTTTCCCAAGGTGCTCTCGCAGACACCCTCATCTAAGGCGAGAAACATACAAATGCCATTTTCCCCCTTCCTGGGACATTAGCCAGAGTAGCCAGAAGGGGTCAAAATAAACTTTGACTGTTTGGTACTGACCTCAGGCCACTCACCTGTATTTATAATCTCTGAAGCACATTTGATGAGCTCTGAGCTTAGAAATGAGAAGCTTGAGAATTTTCAGGAAGATGAAGAAATTGACCTTGAAAAAAAAAGGAGATATAAATAAGTGATGGACTCTATGTGGCTATGAATATCAAGGTCATCCTGGACCCGGCCATCAGATCCTTGTCCATGGAAATCAGGGACAGGTTGGCAGTCAGCCAGTCAGGTAGTAATGGTCAGGGTAATCACCTTTCTCCCAAAGGCCATCTCAACTGAGAGCCCGGAGAGGATTCTAAAGAGTCACTTATCCTTCTGGTTCTGGGAGACCCACCACAATAGCCATCTGAGAAAGGCAAATAGACATTTACATTACTATTTTTAATTAAAATTATTGAGGGATTTTCCTGGTGGTCCAGTGGTTAAGAATCCACCTTGCAATACATGGGACACAGGTTTGATCCCTGGTGGGGGAACTAAAACCCCCCACATGCCACAAAGCATTGACAAAAATTATTTTAAATAAAAATAAGTAAAATAGAAAAGACTTTAAAATGCCTCTATGCAATGGAGAAAGAGCCCATAGAAATGGTGGTCGGGTCACAGTTAATGGAATAAAGTCTCTATAGACATTGAGCCAACACAATACTGATGTCCTTGTCTCAAACCACAGATTGAAACACAAGCTGAAGAATCCAACATGTACCTGTTCTTACTTGTCTTATTGGCCTGGGGAAAATCGGTACTCAAAGCTAAGAGGACAGGGTTTCAGGCAAGAGGCTATGTAGCCAATCTGCAAGCCAACAGGGTAAAGGGAAATTCCCAGCCAAGGAATATTTAGTAACAGAACACTTAAAGGCAAACTAAGTGTAACCAAGTAATTTATCCCGTTTAATGGGATATCTGTTTTTCATCACAAAGAGAAAACGTTGTGTCCTTGGCTTAGTGGCTTGTTGAACTTGGGCATTTTTCTTACAAAGTAAGCCTAACAGGGAAAGGCACATATTTCAGGGCATTAATTTCAACCAGGACTGTCTCTTAGGAAATGAAGGTTTGTGATGAGCGTGCTGATTCATTGCTCTTTGGGTCTTCCAGAGACCAGACAAGAGAAAATGGGCATCGACCACTGACACGGAATGAATCAACAGCCTGGTGGACCGCAGAACCTGCATCCATCCAGGTGCCCCAGAACTCAGGGCTCAGCAGTCACAGTGGGATGGGGTGTTTTGTCATCTGTACACCATCTGGAAAGGGGCTGAAGGAGGACATTTTTTTTTTAACAAGTTTTTTTTTTTTTTTTTTTTGTCTGCACTGGGTCTCCATTGCTGTGTGCGGGCTTTCCCAAGCCACAGTGAGTGCGGGCTCCTTTGCGTCGTGGTGCACAGGCTTCTCCTTGAGGTGGCTTCTGTCTCTCAGAGCACAGGCTCCAGGGCACATGGGCCCAGTAGTTGTGGCTTCCAGGCTCTAGAATGTGGGCTTCCATAGTTAGGGCACACGGGCTTAGTTGCTGCTCCGTGGCATGTGGACTCTTCCCAGATCAGGGATTGAACCTGTGTCCCCTGTATCAGTGGGCGGATTCTTATCCACTCTGCCACCAAGGTCCTGAAGGAGGACATTTCTGAAGAACCAAGCCAACTCCTGTTGGATTCTGTGACCAGATGTGGGACACTTAGGATCCCAAACATATAAGGCTCTTTTTCCAGCCCTAGACAATACAGAATGCATTCAATTCAGTTCAGTTCATTTGCTTAGTCGTGTCCGACTCTTTGCAACCCCATGGATTGCAGCACGCCAGGCTTCCCTGTCCATTACCAACTCCCGGAGCTTACTCAAACTCATGTCCATCAAGTCGGTGATGCCATCCAACCATCTCATCCTCTGTCATCCCCTTCTCCTCTTGCCTTCAATCTTTCCCAGCATCAGGGTCTTTTCCAATGACTCAGTTCTTCACATCAGGTGGCCAAACTATTGGAGCTTCAGCTTCAGCATCAATCCTTACAATGAATATTCAGGACTGATATCTTTTAGGATTGACTGGTTTGATCTCCTTGCTGTCCAGGGGACTCTAAAGAGTCTTCTCCAACACCACAGTTCAAAAGCATCAATTCTTCAGTGCTCAGCCTTCTTTATGGTCCAACTCTCATGTCCATACATGACTACTGGAAAAATCATAGCTTTGACTAGATGGACTTTTGTCGGTAAAATGATGTCACTGCTTTTTAATATGCTGTCTGGGTTGGTCATAGCTTTTCTTTCAAGGAACAACTGTCTTTTAATTTCAGGGCTGCAGTCACCATCTGCAGTGATTTTTGGAGCCCAGGAAAATAAGGCCTGTCACAGAATGCATGCGGTCAGATATACTGTTCCTGGTGACGTTTCTTTGGCACCACCCAGCTGCCACACTCAGATCTGGGTCTACAGGTTGGCAGGGGTGGTTGCAGCAAGGTTGGGGCTCAGAGTTCAATCTCATGGAACCCAAAACTCATCTGCCTCCCCGCCACCCTGTCAGCCCCCTCAACCCCCTTTGCTCCTGCTGCATGGACTAAAATGCCTACATTAGAACTACTCCTTTGGGTTAAAACACTCCACCCCTAAGAGCCCTGCTGAAGGAAGGGCACACCGAAGGTGAACAGCTGGAAAGGGATTTCTCTTTCTTATCTGCTCACTAGTTCATTTTTTCAACAAGGAAGGATTCAATAAATACCTATGATCTGACTTGCTCTCATCATGAGAAGGAGAAGATGGGATACAGCAAAGGAAAACAACCCACGTGCTGCAACCACTGAAGCCCAAGCCCCTAGATCCTGAGCCAAGAAGACCCACCGCAATGAGAAGCCCGCGCACCGCAACAGAGTAGCCCCATTCACTGCAACTAGAGAAAGCCCGTGCTCAACAATGAAGTGCAGCCAGAAATAATAAGTAAATATATATATATTTTTAAGGAATAAAGACCCTTCCTCTGCAAGGTCTCAGAGTAGCGTCACCAAGAGACTCTAACCCTCAGCACAGCTTTGGGTTAATAATGATTGATTGTATTTTTTTCCCCCTCTAAAAGAAGCTTCCTTAGTCTCCCCTCTCTCCTGCTAATGGTGTTGAAATCCAGGCCCTTTGCTTTGCTGTCCCTGGACTTGTCCATGACTGAAGACCCTGCAGCCCCAGGGTTTGTCCACATTGAAGACAGTTGCTAGGGGGTCACTGAGCTGACTACGGGTTTCTTTACATAGTCTGAAAACCCAGAGAGAAGGAAGCTTAGGGTGTGAGCCTGGATTTAGGTCCTGAGCCAAAATAAGAAGCTTCTTTCTTGTGGGAGAGGGGATTATATTACTTCTGCCATGACACAACACCCAAGAGGAGTTTCTTACTTGTTTCTTCTCGTTCAACAGATCCAAACCACGGCTCAGCATCTTCATCTCGAGGGATCTGGCCCAGGTTCTTTCTGAGCCAGAGAATTTGATGGGAGGCTGGGAAGGGGGTGGGGTCCTCCACAGCTGCTGAGCTCAGAGAGGGTAAAGGGTGGGTGGGGTGGTCCTCACCGTTACACAAAGCATCATGGGTCCTCGGATGATCCACCAGATTTTCTTATTCTTGTTGTTTCCCCAGCACCTAAGGCAAAGAGTGGGCAGTAGAAGACTTACAGTTGAGACAGTAAAGACCCCGAGCTCCCTGGAAGAAGGCTCACTTGGTGTGGGGAGGGAGGACTCAAATCCCTTCTTATTAGGTTGATACTGTCAACTTTTTTTTTTTTTTTTGCAAACCAAGAAAGCGGTCTTCATGCTAACAGCTCGCAGTGTATCCTTCTACATATTTTTCCATGTTCATACAAACATAAACTCTCCATTATGTGGGCACACCTCATTTTCCTGTGCTTCACTCTGTTGCACTTTGCAGATATGTGTTTTTTACAAATCGAAGGTTTATGGCAAGCTTGCATCAGGCAAGTTTATCGGCGCCATTTTTTCCAACAGCATTTGCTGTTGTGTGACATTCATGTGCGTCTCTGAGTCACACTTTGGTAATTCTCACAATATTTCAAACTTTTTCATTGTTGTTACATTTGTTACAGTGATCTGTGATCACTGGTCTTTGATGTCACCGTGGTCATTGTTTTGGGGTGCTATGAACTGTGCCCATATAAAATGTTGAACTTTATAAATGTGTGTGTTCTGACTGCTCCACCAACTGCCCATTCCCCCATCTCTCTCCCTCTCCTCAGGCCTTCCTATTCCCCAAGACACAAATAGTGAAATTAGTCCAATTAGCAATCCTACAAAGGCCTCTAAGTGTTCAAGTGAAAGAAAGAGACATATCTCTCACTTGAAGTCAAATGTTAAAAACGCTTAAGGTTAGTGAGGAAGGCATATCACAAGCTGAGCCTGGCTGAAAGTTAGGGTTCTTGCCCTAAACAGCGAAGCTGTGAACACAAAGGAAAAGTTCTTGAAGGAAATTAGAAGTGCTACTCCAGTGAATGCACAAATGATAAGAAAGCAAAACAGCTTTCTGGCTGATATGGAGACAGTCAGAGTCTGGAAAGAAAATCAAACCAGCCACAGTATTCCCTTCAGCCAAAGGCTGATCCAAGCAATGTCCTAACTCTCTTCAATTCTATGAAGGCTGAGAGAGCTGAGGAAGTTGCAGGAAAAAACAGTGTGAAACTTGCTGACGTGGGTTAATGAGCTTTAGGAAAGAAGCCATCTCTATGACATGGAATTGCCAGGGGAAGCAGCAGGTGCTAGGTGCAGAAGCTACAGTGAGTTATCCGGAAGATCTAGCTAAGACCACTAATGAAGGTGGCTACACTGAACAAAAGATTTTCAAGGTAGACTAAGCAATCTTCTCTTGGAAGAAGATTCCAACCAGGACTTTCATAGCTAGAGAGAAGTCAACGCCTGGTTTCAAAGCTTCAAGGGACAGACTGACTCTCTAGTTAAGGGGCTAATGCAACTGGTGACTTTAAGTTGAAACCAGTGCTCATTTACATTCCAAAAATCCTAACTTGTACTAGATCGACCCTGCCTGTGATCTATACATGGAACAACAAAGCATGGATGACAGCACATCCATTTACGATGTGGGTTACTGAAAATTTTAAACTCACTGTTGGAAACTATTCAGAAAAAAAAATTCCTTTCAAAAATATTACTGCTCATTAATAATCCACCTGGTCACACAAGAGCAGTATATGAGAATATATGATCTTAGTTTCCGGACCAGGGATCACGCTTGCATACCCTGCATTGCAAGGCTGATTCTTAACCACTGAACCACCAGGGAAGTCCCTGTTTTGTTTTTAACTTCTGAACTTCTTTTTGTGTGTCTCCTCTCTTCAATCTCATTTGAGACATAAGAATCAGGGACACACTTTTCTTGTTCTTATATTCCTATCTTTACACATACCATTTTTTCAGTCTTCACCCAAGAGCTCCGATGAAGATGTACAATGGGATTAACATTGTTTTCATGCCTACTAGCATAAGGTCCATTCTGCAGTCCATAGATCAAGGAGTAATGGATGAATTACTATAAATCTTTGATTATTTTATATATAGTCTTAAGTATATTCTAGATGGCCCAAATGGAAGGGAGTGGACACTCTCTTTGGGAAAATGATGTATTTCCTGATATTGGGGCCTATCTTGCAATGAAGCTTCCCAGGTGGCTCAGTGGCAAAGAACTTGCCTGCCAATGCAGGCGATGCAGGAGATGTGGGTTCGATCACTGGATCGGGAAGATCCCCTGGAGAAGGACATGGCAACCCATTCCAGTCTTCTTGCCTGTGAAATCCCATGGACAGAGGGAGCCTGGTGGGCTGTAGTCCACAGGGTCGCAAAGAGTCGGACACGGCTGAGCGCACAGCACAGCACAGCACATCTTGGACTAACTAGCTCACAGAAGTGTAAAAAGAGGCGAGTTACCTACCCCGTATTCTCCAGCCAGGCACGGACAATGCTCCAGGGCACAACGAAGAGCACCGGGAAGGCTGGGAAAAAACATGGAAACGGAGTCAAGGGCTGGTTGGCCAAATTTGCCTACCGTCCACCTCACCCTGATGGGCCAAGCACACCTGGCTAAAATTGTAAAAACCCAAATATCATAGAATCATGGACTGTGAGAGCTGGAGAGACCTACAGATGGCACAGAGCCATCCAATTTTTGGGAAACCAGGAGGCAGACAGGAGCTACCTGTCACAAAGTAGCTTAGAGTAAATCCAAAGACATTCATCAAGCCTCCTGAATCTCAGGCCAGAGTTAGGCCCTCTGAATACTGCAGCCTCAACTTCCCCGAGAATCTATGGCAGCAGGGGCTCCAGCTCTCATCCTGGAGACTTGGTTGGCCCATGGACTGAATGTTTGTGTCCCCCAAATTCATACATTGAAGTCCTAACTCCCAGTGTGATGGAATTTGAAGAAGGGACCTTTGGAGGTAATTTGGTTTAGATGGCATGTGTGTAGGGGCTGGTCATCATGATGGGATTACTGTCCTTATCAGAAGAGACCAGAGACCTTGCTTTCTCTCTCTCTCTCTCTCCAATAATATGAGGCTACAGCAAGAAGGCAGCTGTCTGCAAGCCAAGAATAGGACCTTCATTGGAACTCAACCATCCTGGTACCACAATCTCACACTTCTCAGCCTCCAGAACCTTGAGAAATAAACGTCTGCATTTTAAGCCACACAGTCTATAGCATCTGTTATGGCAGCCCTAGTAGATACTACAGTTGGGGACAGGTTAGGAGGAATGTCAACTGATTCTACCAAAAGCCTTCCCAATTTTTGAATGTGTGTGTTGGGTCTACAGCCCTTATATCTACGTGCATGTACATGTGGGTGCATGTGTGTGTACACACACACACACACACACACAAACACTACCCCTCTCTTCAGAGTCTCTTGTAACTGAGGAATTATCTGCCCCAGAAACTTCCTTCCAACTCCAACCAAAAGCTCTACTGGGCTCCCATGTTCAGACAGATCCCCAGTTCAGGTCACTCACCCCAACCCACCAGCAGGTATCTGGGCCACAGCCACCTTTCTGAAAATACTATGGGCTCCAGCAGTGTGTGAAGGTAAAGGCCTTCGACCAGCAGCCACGAATAATTGGTGCCCACAAAGTAGTGTAAAAGGACCTGGGCCGAGCGGCAGGAGGCAGAAATCTGGAAAGGACAGAGCATCTGGGGGTGAGTGCAGGCTCCTCAGCATCTGGCCCACCAGTGGAGGGGAGAAGGGCCTCCCCACACAAGTCCCTCCCTCTGGACTCCTCTCTAAGACAAGTAGATTTTCAGACACAGTGCTATGGCACACTTTATTAATAGACTACAGCACAGTGTAACACACCACGTTCAGTGCTCTTGTTATATGCACTCCCTGCTCTGCTTGGTCACTCAGTCATGTCCGACTCTTTGCGACCCATTCTTGGGACACTGGCTTTAAAAAAAAAAAATCAGGTGATGTATCTCTTATCAGAAAGACTGACACCCCTTTCTCTCTCTCATCCACTCCCCAGCCTCATCTTCCTGCTCTCTGATTCCCAGGACTGATCCACCAGGTAGAGCCCAGGGATAAGGAAGCACATACCTCCGACACATAGGACAGCCACCCTTTCTCACTGTTGGGCTTCTTGGAGTAAGATTTGTATAAGATGACGTCTTTCACCAGCACAGCCAGGGCTCTCAGGATGAAAGAGGCAAACAAGTTCATGTGGATGTAATTACGTGTGCAGTGGAGTTTTCTGGGCAGGGAGAAAACCAAGGGTCTTCCCTCAGAAAAGAAAGGCTCAGACCAACAGGTGTGTGCCCGAAACCTGTGTATGTGCCACCAAAGGGCACAGGTTCAGAGTGTAGGCTGCAGAGCTGGATGGGTGGCGTAAAGGATCTTACCTCTCTGCCTCACTCTCCTCATCTGTAAGATGGGGAGAATAACAGGTACCGTTTTATAACATGTTCAACATGCCAGGCTACATTCCAAGCTATTTGCATGTGGATGTACTTAATGGCATCCTTACTCCTTACAACCACTGGAGGAAGAGGTAGGCTCACTATTCTGATATTCCAAATGGGGAAATTGAGGCAGGAAGTTTAAGTCCAGAGTTCCAGAGCAGTAAGTGGCAGAGGTGAGATTTAGATTCAGAAACTCTGAGGTCCATATATGACTCTCCAAGACTCTACTCCCTGTAAGAACAAGGGCATTTGCAGCAAAAGCTGTAGGAGGATTCAACCAGTTAATGGGTGAAAAGTGCTCACACAGCACCTGGCACATAAGAAGTACCCAGAAAATGTCAACTCTCATGACCGCCCTTACCCACCTGGAGCCTCCAGCGCCAGCCGACATAAAACTGCATCCTTGGTCTCTCTAGGCTTTTGCCCTTTTCCATCACTGTGTCCTCAGAGCCCCACCTATGCCCCCGTGTGGCTCATGTCCAGCCCTGCCTCTCTCTAGAGCTATTATTACTTTTTTAGTTTCCAAAAAGATTTGAGCAGGTCTTTGTGTTTCATGATTCATGCATTCTTCTCCCTAGACTGGGCAGGGACTGGGTCTTGCTCTTCTCAGAGCCAGAGACAAAAATGAAGACATGGTCGACCCAGGCTCTGCTCAAGTTACTTCTTCTGGGGCTGGGCAGTTATCTTCTCCTGGCCTTGTTCTGAGACTTTGGGAATGTGAGTGGAGGTGGTCACCGACAGCAGTGGGCAAAGGCTATGGAATTCTCTCCTGTTATTCAATGATTGCTCTCCCACTGGGGCAGGTGGTCATGACTCCGCTCTCTGCTCCAGGAGCTAAAGAACATCATGGGATTGAGGGGGCAGGGGGGCCAGAACTAGACCTTGCAGAGCCCAGGCGGGAGCGGCCCTGGAACCAGCATCCAGGGTCCCCCCATCCAGGTCTCTGCATCTGTGTTGAATGCTCAGAGACAGCCTTGGAGGGTTCCTTAAAGGGTCTATAAGTATCTCACTTGAGTGACTTCTAAAATGACTGAGTAAAACGCACTACAGCTTTGGATTCTGAAAAACACTACGATAAAGGAATCAAAGTGCTCAGCCTCTGGACCACCTGCTTATGATCTTGGCTCCATCACTCACCAGCTGTGTGACTGTGGGCAAGTCACTTCATCTCCCTGTGTTTCAGTTAACTCACTCATAAAATGGGGGTGATATAAGGCTAATCTCCAGGGATTAGAATTCATCTTAATTCTGATTAGAAATAGACTTAAATGACTTAATACATGTAACATGCTTTAGAACAGGGCCCGGCATCCTCAAATGGTTAATGGCTAATTGGAGTCCAAGGGTCCTGGGTTAAAACCTCAGCTCTCCCACTCACTAATATGCTTGGGGGAAGTTTCTTAATCTTGTCCATAAAAATAGTGCATCCAGTGGAGATATGGTGAGAATGGGCTGTGGCAGTCATGGGCATGTACGATTAGGAGTTTAGAGCAGGAGTTTAGAGCATGCGTATGTACAACTAGGACTTTAGAGCAGGGACTAGGAGTTTGGGCAGAGTTCAACTAATCCAAAGAGACAAAGGCAGAGTTGGGAGGCCCAGATTCCAGTCCTAGCTGTGCTTGGCAACCCAGGGTGGCTCAGTACCTCCCCCAGGACCTCCCAGATCCCTTCCCTTTGCCTACAAAAATGGGATGGATGGACTGGAGACTGTCTCAGATCCCCTCCAACTCTGATGAGCCAGGAAATCACCCAGCCTGGTCTCCTGTCTTCTCAAGGGAGCCAGTGAGCACATGCCTGGATTCCTGCCTGAGCATGTGCAGGCAGCAGCTCCACTCACCGAAGAAACAAGAGGAGGGTGAGAGCCAGGAAGAGCGAGACGATGGAGAGAGAGTAGCCCACCGTGTACAACAGCTGCAGGGTCGACAGCAAGGTGCGGCGTTCAATCTGAATGCAGAGGAAGAGCAGACATGACCGGTAAGCCAGGCAGCTATGGTGTCCAGCCCCTGGATCCATGCCCCCAACCACCAAGGGTCTAGGTTTGAACCCGAGGAGACTTGTTGACACCATAGCCCTCTGGCACATCTCAGAGCTCAAGGAAGCTTCATGAGTGAAGAACCCACCATGAGTTTCACCTCCGTGGTTGGTCCCAACACCCAGCAGTGATGCACCAAGATTCACAATATCCTAAGAGAAACTGTGTCCAGGACCAGAGGGTGCCTTGGGAATGAAGAAATAGTCTTTGCCCCTGGATGTGCTGTTCCTAGAGTGTAGGGGCCTCTCTTTCTGGAAGACAGGGCCAGGTTTCCATCTAGATGTCTCCCTCCTAAAGTAACTCTTCATAGATGATCCCTTAAACAAAGACCCAGTTAAACACTGGAATATTTTCTGAGTCCCAGGATAACCCGCTGTTGAACAGAGGATAGTTTACTCGAAATTCTGTGGGATTTTCTAATGGAATACCTTCTCACTCAATCTTGTGCATATAGCCATCAAGATTATGTTTCTGAATAAATTTTTGCACAAGAACGCAGTTAATATGTATTATCTGCTAGATTATGCCTAAACTTGTCTGCATAACCTTAACAGAAGTTCATCAGCTTCACAGAAGTATAATTGGGATACAGCAAACTGCACATATTGAAAGTATAAACCTTGGGGAATTTGGACATGACTATATTTCTGATGTCATCACCACATTCAAAATAACGAACATTTCCATCACCTCCCCAGAGTTTCCTTGCGACCCTTTGTAATTCATTTGCTCTCATTGTTTCTTGCCCTTAGAGACTAGTTTGCATTTTCTAAAATGTTTATAAATGGAACCTTGTAAGTGTTCAATTTTCTGTCAGGCTTATTTCCCTTGGAGTAATTATTTAGAGATTCATCCTTGTCATAGCGTGTATCTTAGCTCATTCCTTTGTTGTTCAGTTACTCAGTCGTGTCCAACTCTGCAACCCCATGAACTGCAGCACGCCAGGCTCCTCTGTCCTTCACCATCTCCCAGAGATTGCTCAAACTCATGCCCATTGAGTCAGTGATGCCATTCAACCTTCTCATCCTCCCCTTCTCCTCCTGCCCTCAATTTTTCCCAGCATCAGGGTCTTTTCCAATGAGTCATCTCTTCACATCAGGTGGCCAAAGTATTTGAGCTTCAGCTTCAGCATCAGTCCTTCCAATGAGTATTCAGGGTTGATTTCCTTTAGCATTGACTGGTTTGATCTCCCTGCTGTTCAAGGGACACTCAAGAGTACTACTCAGCCAGCAATTTTTGACAACATGGATGAACCTCGAGGGTATTATGCTAAGTGAAATAAGTCAGACAGAGAAAGATAAATACTGTATGATTTCATTCATATGTGGAATATTAAAAATGAACAATCAAAAACAAACAAAAAATGATCAAACCAAACAAAAACAAACATGTATACACAGAGAACAGAGTGATGGTTATCAGAGGGGGAGTGGCAGGGGGAAGGGTGAATTGGGTAAAGAAGATCAACTCTATGGTGATAGATGGAAAGTAAACTTGTGGTGGTGAGCATGCTGTAGGGTTTACAGAGGTAGCAATACAAAGTCATTCACATGAAACTTAAATAATGTTATAAACCAGGATTACTGTTGAGTAGTATTCTATTATGAATATACCACGATTTACTTATGTAGTCACCCATTGATGGACTTTTGGATTGCTTTCAGAGTTTAACTTTCACAAATAAAGTTGCTCTGAAAACTTCTGTACAAGATTTTATGTAGACACAGGTTTTCATTTCTCTCAGATAAATATCTAGAAATAGAATGACAGGGTAGCATGGTATATGCTTTAACTTCTTAAGAAACTGCCAGACTGTTTTCTAAATAAGTTGTATCAGTTTACATTCCAACCAGAGTGCCAGCTGCTCAAGAATCGACTAACATTTCCTGCAATCAGTCTTTTACATTTCAGTCATTCTAATGGGTGTGTCGTAGTGTCTTATGGCGGTTTTATTTGCACTTTGCTAATGATTAATGATGTTGAGAATCACTTCATGTGCTTATTTGCCATCTGTATGTTTTATTTGGTAAAGTATCTGTTCAAATATTTGGCTGTCTTTTAAACTGGATCATTGGTCTTAATTTTGAATTGTAAATCTTTATATATTCTAGACATAAACCCATCAGATACATGTTTTGCAAGTATTTTTCTCCCACTTTGTGGCTTGTCTTTTTATTTTTTTCAGTTCAGTTCATTCGCTCAGTTGTGTCTGACTCTTTGTGATCCCATTGACTGCAGCACACCAGGCTTCTCTGCCCTTTACCAACTCCTGGAGCTTGCTCAAACTCATGGCCATTGAGTCGGTGATGCCATCCAATTACCTCAACCTTTTCTCCTCCTGCCCACAATCTTTCCCAGCATCAGGGTCTTTTCCAATGAGTTCTTCACATCAGGTGCCAAAGTATTGGAGTTTCAGCTTCAGCATCAGTCCTTCCAATGAATATTCAGGACGGATTTCCTTTAATTGACTGGCTTGATCTCCTTGCAGTCCAAGGGACTCTCAAGAGTCTTCTCCAACACCACAGATCAAAAGCATCAATTCTTCAGCGCTCAGCTTTCTTTATGGTCCAATTCTGACATCCATACATGACTACTAAAAAAAAACCATAGCATTGACTAGATGGACCTTTGTTGGCAAAGTAATGTCTCTGCTTTTTAATATGCTGTCTAGGTTTGTCTAAGTTTATTTTTTTTAAGTGTCTTTAAAAGAGCCTAAGTTTTCAATTTTGATAAAGTCCAATTTATCAACTTTTCTGTGGTCACTTAATAGCCCTCTCAATTATTAGCTAGACTGTCTTGGTACAGCAGATTTTGTGTTTTAAGTGACCCTTATTCTACTTAATTTGTTGTTGTTTAGTTGCTAAGTTGTGTCTGATTCTTTGTGACCCCATGGACTGTAGCCCACCAGGCTCCTCTGTCCATGGGATTTCAGGCAAGAATACTAGAGTGGGTTACCGTGCCCTCCTCCAGAGGATCTACCTGACCCAGGTATCGAACCCATGTCTCTTCTGTCTCCTGCATTAGCAGGTGGGTTCTTTACCACTGAGCCACCTGGGAAGCCCCATTCTACCTAATAATGGCCCCCAAAAGTAGTGATGCTGGCAATTTGGATGTGCCAAAGAGGTCATAAAGTGCTTCCTTTAAGTGAAGAGATGAAAACTCTTGAGTTAATAAGGAAAGAAAAAAAATAACATGCTGAGGTTGCTAAGATCTATGATAAGAACCAATCTTCTATCTGTGAAATGTTAGAGAATCAGTGGCACTTGTTGTCACACTTCAAACTGTAAAAGTTACAGCCACCATGCATGAGTGCACAGCTAAGACGGAAAAGGTATTAAGTGAGTACAGTTTTGAAAGATACTCACAGACACACACACACACACACACACACACACACACACACAATATCCTTAAAAAGCACCAATTACTATGCATAAGGACCCCCAGTGTGTTGTTAGTTGGAAGAACATAACACATCTCATTTTCCAAAACCCCAAAGGGCAAAGATTTACTAACACTAGCCTTGTTTGGGCAAAAATTCAACCCTCTACTAGAAACACAGGTAAACATGACCAGAAACTTTTTAAGTGCTTGATTTCTTAGAAATATGATCATTTGCAGACAGGAGGAGGCAATGCCTGTGTCCTCACTGCTCTAAAGAGAGAACCTTTACTTCCTGTCTTGGAAAGTTCACCTTTTCAATCTTGTTTTGCAGTCCTAGTTGCCTGACCTGAGCCCAAAGCAAGTGGCAGGCATTTCACACCAGCTTGTGAATTCATCATCACCACGTCCCTTCAGAGTCACCTGGGGAACCTTCCCATCAGTATGGACGCCTCGACCCCACCACATCCCCACTGACTCAGAATCTGTGGAACCATTCAATATTTATTAAGCAACCACTGTATGTGAAGGTTCTGTGCACTTTTACCAGCACTGTGCCAGAGGGTGGCAGCTGTTCAGATATGACTATGACTTTGCTATTTTTCTCAAGCAGTTTTGTCCAGGAGGGAAGATAAGAAATGTATACAGTTTGCCCAAATCACAGCATGAAGTTAACAAGAGCATGGTGCTGTGACAAAAGTCAGACAAAACCTTGAGATAAGCTGAATCCAACCCAACCACAGGCATGATTTTAATACCTTTAAGAGGTGTGGCCTGTCACATGGTCTAGGAACAGGGAATTCTGCCAATTCCAGTCAAGGAATAAAGTTAAAGAGAGGTTTAGAAAAAATTCCCTGCAGATAGAGAGGATGTGACAGAAGGCTCTTCATGCCTGATGGGAAGATGTGATAGACTTGGGAGTCAAGGACCGGCCAGTTCCCACTGGGGGAAGGAAGTGAACCACAGACACGATGATTCACTGCTCAGCGACCCAGCTGGATCCTAGGGGTGGAGCCGGCACTCTGACTTTACATCGTGGTGACGAGGGGTCAGGCTCTATCCAGAGGCTCATGCGTCTGTCAGCTCTTAAACCCTTGTGCGGTCATGGGCAGTAAATGTGCTCTTCTGGGGCATGGATGGGGATGCAGAGGCCCAGCGCAGTGAAGGGTGAGGTAAGAAGAGCTAGAAAGCAAATGGACTTCCCTGGTGGCCCAGGGGTTAAGAATCCACCGGCCAATGCCAGAGACATGGATTCGATCCCTGATCCAGGAAGATTACACATGCCTCAGAGCAACTAAGCCCGTGCACCGCAGCTATTGAGCCTGTGCTCTAGAGCCTGGGAGTAGCAACCGCTGAAGCCTGAGTGCCTAGAGCCGGGCTCCACAACAAGACAAGCCACAGGAACAAGAAGCTGGCTCACGGCAACTAGAAAGCAACTCCCACTCACTCAACTAGAGAAAGCCTGCGTAGCAACAAAGACCCAGCACAGCCAAAAATACATAAATAATTTTTTTTTTAATTTTAAGAATTAGAAACAGGGCTTCCCTGGTGGTTCAGTGATAAAGAGTCTGCCTGCCAATGCAGGAGACACAGGTTCGATCCCTGGTCCGGGAAGATCCCACATGTCGACGAACCACTAAGCCCATGGGCCACAACTATTGAGCCTGTGCTCTAGAGCCTGGGAACTGCAACTGCTGAGCCCACATGCCACAACTATTGAAGCCCGAGCGCCCTAGAGCTCTTGCTATGCAATGAGAGAAGCCACCACAATGAGAAGCCTGTACACTGCAACTAGAGATGAGCTTGCCACTACTAGAGATGAGCCCGCTCAGCAATGAAGACCCACAGAGCCAAAGTAAATGAATAAATAAAATTATTTTTTAAAAAAGAATTAGAAACAGTAAAAGAAAGAAAGAAATGGAAATTCCACATTAAAAAAAAAAAAAAAAAAAACAAGAGCTAGGAAGCAAGAACTCTGGACATGAAGGTAGGCTGCCTGGGCCCTCGACCTTGAGCTTGCAACCAGATGCTAGGTGTGTCCCCTCAGGACACAGTCTCCTGTCACCCCCCGTCCACATTCTAGGAGGGGGAGGATGCGGGAGACTGTCGGAGAGTGACAGGTGCTGTCAAGGCCGGAGAGACCATTCTCCATGGGGTGACCTTGGAAGCCTTTGCTTGAAAGGAGACATTGACTTTGAGATGTGACTTTGGAGAAGGAGAGGCCAAAGAACAGCTGGGGAAACGTGGGCCAGGCGGTAGGAGCAGCAAGCACAGATGCTGGCTGTCTTTCCTTAGGGGTTCACGTCTCGGCCCAGCAGCAGAAGACGTGCTGTGTCTGCCATTGGAGTTGTGGTTTTGGGTGCACAAGGACCTTGCCAAGTGAGTCTGGGGCCGATGCGCTGGGGCAGGCTCCTCGTGTGGAGTCCCGGCACAGGGTGGTTTGGGCCCCGAGGTCCGCCCTCACCGAGCCCAGCCAACTCACTTTTTGTTTGAAGCTGTGATCCTCAGCGCATTCGGAGTTGTCCTGCCAAACAGCCGTGGAGTTCTCCAGTGTCTGCCAAGCACCCCGAGACAGGCAGTATCTGTAGGCCCTTCCTGAGTTCTCTGAAAGTAAACACAGCTCTGGGGGAAAGGTCAGAGCACGCAGCCCGCTCTCCGAGCACGTGGGAAGGCCCTCATTCTCACCGCAAAGCTGTGGAAAAATCCCAGGGAAGAGGAATTTTCACTTCCCCTTCGGGGGACTCGTTAGCATCCTCACTGTTTATTTGAGATGGAAGGAAAAACACGGAAGCCTCTACATTTTGTAGCAAACCACAACCCATTAATGTCTGCTGTGTTTACCCAAAGTCCCTGGTGACTCAGATGTGACAGCCCTCCAAGGTGCAGCCCAGCTGGGAGACGCAGACCTGGGGCTTCCTGACGCCCAAGAAGCCATGCCACGGAGAAGAAAGGGCACTGGACCAAGCCAGCTCCGCCCCTTACAAGCTCTGTGGCCTTGGGTGGGGCCCTATCCCACCCAGTCCCTCAGTTCCCACTTCTGATGACAAGTCTTGACTGTTCCACCTCCAGTTTTTCCTCTTTCCTCTTTCCTCTTCTTCCCAACCTATTGCCTCTGCCTGAATCCACATCCTCATCCTCTCTTTTTCTGGACCACTGCAGGAGCTTGCAGACTTGCCCTTGTGATCTCCCTCTGTCCCTCGGTCCATCAGCCACAGGCTACCCACGTCAGCTCCTCCAAACCACCTCCGCATGCCTTAACACCTTCAGTGGCTCCACATCTCTACAGAGGGCAGTTTAAAGCCCGAAGCATAAAGCACGGGTCCGGCCTCATTGCTTGGTCTTTTTGTGCCAGTACATTCTCTCCCTTGGGCTTCCCTTATAGCTCAGTAGGTAAAGAACCTACCTGCAGTGCAGGAGACCTGGGTTCAATCCCTGGGTCGGGAAGATCCCCTAGAGAAGGAAACGGCAACCCACTCCAGTATCCTTGCCTGGAAAATCTCATGGACACAGGAGCCTGGTAGGTTGCAGTCACTGGGGTCACAAGGAGTCAGGCATGACTAAGCAACTAACACTTAACTTATTCTCTCCCTTCTTACATTCTAATGCTTCTTCCTCTAAGCTCATCTCGTGAGAACTATGCAGCCAAGTCTGTGGTAGCCAGGCCTGGACCCTCAAATCTTCAAAGGAGAGAGGACCAGGATACAAGCAGAGCTTCCAGGCACAGAAGACTTGCGGGAAGACAGGAGAAGCAGCAGAGAGGAAAAGGAGGATGTGCTCCTGACAGCTTAGGAGGAGACCTTTTATGGGAGAAGAGGGCTGGAGAAAACAATCTGATTGGAGCCCCCTCCTAAACAAACCCTGGCTGCTCTCCCCAGGGAAGCCTTAAAGGAAAAGTTAAATATTGGTAAAATAAGACTTATTACCTTCACGCCACCAAGGTAAGTAGGAAGGGCAGGGGACAGAGACATTTCCAGGAGTGGAATGAGGCCAGCATGCATACTGATCGAAGGTCCCATTACAGACTGCACCTGCAGAGAAAAGTGGGCAAAATAAACCGAGGGAGCCCAGAACCCATCTCACTGGCACTGAAGCTGGTGTGGCCCGAGTAGGGACCAGCCAGGGCGTCCCACTCTCTGGCGTCAGATCAAGGATGAGGAACCATGTGGGGAGGACGGGAATGCTTCACACAGTCCCACATGTGGCTCTGTCTACCCAACCTGACCCCTGGCGGTGGTCCAGTCTTTCATGTCAACACGCACGTCACACTGGTGTTGGTTTACTTTACATGGGCTGAACTCTCGCAGAAACTCAGGGTCGGGAGGACACTTAGAGGTTCAGCCAGCATCTTCTGTTCTGTAAATAATTGTCAAACCCTCACCAGTTATATCTATGAAATGTGCAAAATGACCGGTGGATGGAAGGGCATCTGCAAGGTTGAGGTTCTTAGTCACATGTACCTGAGTCAAGCACTACCTGGTCAGATTTCTCTGTTTGAAGACGAATCTGATGATCATTATGAAATATCTGGGACTCTCAAGCAGCTCAGGGGATGAGCTGGTGCTTGGCAATGAGATGCTATAACATAAGCAACAGCTTTATGAGCCCCCAGGATCACATGAAGGGGCTTCAGGCTAGAACCCAAACATCCATATTGCAAGCTCCTCACTCCTGGTTACCAAACATCATTTCCTACCATGGGCTCCCTATTAGGCCAGAACTCAGGGGCCACTCGGAGTGAAGAGTCAGGTCACTGGTATCAGGACTGAGCCGCAGGTCCGGAGCTTGGGGCACCCTGTAGACCTGGCTGCCAGGTCAGCACCCAGTCAGCACCTAGCCTGCGTGAACTCATCGAGATGAGCTGCCCACGGAGCCTCCAGATCAAGAAGGCCTCCTTACTTTTACCTCAGAAAGCAGTTTTCCTCAAGATGGAAGTGGTTCCTATAATGAATTAAGCCTTGGTGGCCACCTGCTTAGCTAAAGGATATTTAAAAGGAAGGAGGCATGGCTTGGAGACTGAACTGCCTTTGGGTCAGGAAAAGGCAGAGAGAGTTTCTAGTGTCCTGTCAACCTCCAGATCCCTGAGTGAAGTCACCTGAAAGAAGCCAGGAGATGAAGGAGGGAGCAACTTTCATCCACAGCTGACCAGTCTCAGAGGCAGGGGGCCAAGACTTCTTATTTCTTTCTTTTCTTGACAAAAAAAGAACCTGGATGCACCCAGAGACCCAGCATCAAGACAGAAGAGGCTGTGGGATGGCCAAACTATTAACATATTTGCTAGAATGCGCTCAACCTAGTGCAGTCCTAGATGAAAGTTAGCACCATGGGAGACTGAAGGACACCCGTCCACACACACACGTATAATAGATTCTGGGTTAATCTATGACAGTGGCTCATGTCATGTGATTAGGTGGTCAAAGTACTATGACACATGGCTTATATCAAACACAGTCACATGCATGTATATTCCATCTTGCATGCTCTCTTATATAGGAAGTGGGTAGCCTTTGTAACTGTCTGACCCAACTGAACACAGCAGAAGTGACTTCCAAGGCTAGGTCACAAAAGGCAACATGGTCTCTGCTCATGCTTGTGCTTGCAACCCAGCCAGGGTGCTGTGAGGAAGCCCAGGCGATATGGAGAGGCCGCGTGGATGTGGCCCAGCCAACTGCCCCAGCGTGACTCCCAGCATCAACCAGCAGATGTGGGCATGAACCAGACTTCAGATGATTCCAACCTCTGGTCTTAGAATCTTTCAGCTAAACTCCAGACATTGCAGAGCAGATATAAGTCCTCCCCAATATTCTCTGTCTGAATTCCTGACACATAGAAACTGTGAGAGAAATGTGTGCACTCAAAGTCGTTTCAGTCCTGTCTGACTCTTTGCAACCCTGTGGACTGTGTAGCCCACCAGGCTCCTCTGTCAATGGGATTCTCTAGGCAGGAATACTGGAGTGGGTTGTCATGCCCTCTTCCAGGGGATATTCCTGACCAAGGGATCGAACTTGCATCCCTTACGTCTCCTGCATTGGCAGGCAGGTTCTTTACCACTAGCACCACCTGGGAAGGCCCATGAGAGATAATAAATCATTGTTATTACTGTTTTGAGCCATTAAGCTTTGGGGCTATTTGTTACACAGCCATAGATAACTGATACATGTGCTTACCAGACGTTTCCTTGAGTAAGTCTCTCAGACACTTCTCTTTGTACTGAGCCCACTTCCGAGTTGTCTCCTCAAGGAGAGATCCTGTAACCTGAGCAGAAAAAACTCCAGTTACCAGCAAGCACATGTTATCACATTTAATCACAGGTTATCACCTCACACCATGATTCTCAAACATTCCCACTGATAAGCCCATAATCGCTTGCACCACAGAACAATTTCTTTTGTATCTTATGTCCTATCTTAAATATTGCTGCTATTGTTTAGTCACTAAGTTGCATCCAACTCTTTTGTGACCCTATGGACTGTAGCCTGCCAGGTTCCTCTGTCCATAGGGATTTTCCAGGAAAGAATACTGGAGTGGGTTGCCATTTCCTTCTCCAGGGGATCTTCCCGACTGAGGGATCAAACCTGCATCTCTTGCCATGGCAGGAAGGTTCTTTATCACTGAACCACCTGGGAAGCCAGATGTGGGGGAGACTATTGTAAATTGCAGAGATATTCTATTGAAAGGCATTCAAACACACACATACACAGAGAGAACAAAACAAGCAAACCCATCCATGAGCCCTACAGGAAGCCAGTTTTCACCTCCTGCGTAATTAGTCCAATCTACCTCACCGCCCCCCCACGCTCACCACTGCCCAGCATGCCCCAGACCCAATCCCATGGCATCCACAGGGTCTGTGAGTAATTCCTTTGCAATTTTTCCAGGGAATGACACAGACAGCTTTCTGAAGACAAGCAAGGATGGTCATCATTAGACTAGAGGTTCCCAAACTTTCTCAATTCTTGCTGCCTTTCCAGTCTTAATAATTTTTCCACAGCACCCCCAGGCCAATAGAAATACCATATCTAAAGTTCCATTAATCAGACTTCCCTGGAGGTCCAGTGGTTAAGAATTTGCCTGCCAATGCAGGGGACCTGGGTTTGATCCCTGGTCTGGGAGGATTCAACTTGCCGCAGGACACCCAAGCCCACATGCCCCAAGTACCGAAGCCCACATACCTAGAGCCTGTGCTCCACAGCAAGAGGAACCTCCTCAAGGAGATGCCCATGTGCCGCAACTAAAGAAAGTCTGTGTATAGCAGAAAGACCCAGCGCAGCCAAAAAATAAACACAGCGCCATTAACTAAGTGGAGAAGGCAATGGCAACCCACTCCAGCACTCTTGCCTGGGAAATCCCATTGACAGAGGTGCCTGGTAGGCTGCAATCCATGGGGTCGTGAAGAGTCGGACATGACTGAGAGACTTCACTTTCACTTTTCACTTTCATGCATTGGAGAAGGAGATGGCAACCCACTCCAGTGTTCTTGCCTGGAGAATCCCAGGGACGGGGGAGCCTGGTGGGCTGCCGTCTATGGGGTCGCACAGAGTCAGACACGACTGAAGCGACTCAGCAGCAGCAGCAGCATTAATTAAGTAGATAGGCTGAACAACGTATTAAATATTTACCTCCTAACAACTTGGTACCTACGGGGGATGATGCATGCTTGTGCTTAGTCACTCAGTCGTTCCGAATCTCTGTGACCCCGTGGACTGCAGCCCCCCAGCCTCCTCTGTCCATGGGGATTCTCCAGGCAAGCATACTGGAGTGGGTGGCTATGCCCTCCTCCAGGGGATCTCCCCAACCCAGGGATCGAACCCATACCTCCTGCATTGCAGGTGGATTCTTTACCGTCTGAGCTACCAGGGAAGCCCAGTGGGGATGATAAAACATCTCAAATCTAACAGTCAGATTGACTACTACCACCTGTGTTCCTGTTCCACCCTGATATTTGCAGTGTTTGCTTTTTATCACAGCAGCTGCAAAGAAGCCCAGCTTTGCAATGAAACATCATCCAAGGGAAACTAGTGTCATATAATGTTGAAACCATGGACTACCTCGAGTTCGTCATTCACAGATGGAATGTATCCCTGCTTCCCTCAAAAAATTAAAATTCAAAACAAAAAATTATAATTCCTAACAGCACCCCTGCCAGTTCACAGCAAGGGTGCCCTAGGACATGTTAGCACACAATTTGGGAACCATGGGATGAGCCAGTAAGTAGTTATCATGATAATAATGATGATGAAATAATTGGTATTTATCCCCTGGTTTCTGTTTCCAGTGTGTTTTAAATCTCCGTTAATAACTCTCTTTCTCTGTTATGGCCCAAGAGGCACGATGGTACATTAGCAACACACTGTTTAAAGAAATACATGTCCTAATGGGAACATAAGTGACTATATTAATTTTACAAATTCGGCAGAGATGTTGGTAACCAAATGATCAGCTTCCAGAATCCTCCAAGTCACGCAAGGGAAGAGCTTTCTTTGGATAAAGTGCCATTTATATGCATCAGGACCTAACAGAGGGAGAGACAATGAAATCAATTGTGCATGTGAGCTGTCCATGGGCTAACATTCTCTTATCCCCCACTCTCTGCCACGACTGACGGCCATGGTCAAAAGGAAAAATAAAACCAAAGCAGCACTGAATCTGATCCGTCTAGAAAAGCTGGATAAACTCTGATCATCTTCCCAGGTACTTGTCCTAAGGACACCAACGACATGAAAGGCTAATCTAAGTTCAATCACAGCCAAATCTTAATCAAGTAGTGGTGAGTGGATATTTTCTAGCTGGAAAAATCCAGCTCGATCCTGATTCCTCTTTCTCTTGCAAGGGTAACCAGCACCAACTCACTCGACCGAGAAGGGATTAAGAAAAAGGCAAAAAAAGCCTCTGTTGACTTGCTTTCAACAACACCTCTATTATTCTTTCTTACCAAAGGAGTAGACTTCACTGTAGATAAAATAAAAAAATGAAGACAAGCAGAAAGGGGAGAAGAAATGGAATCTTAATCTTTTTACCCAGAAATAACTATCTCCCTCCAGACTCTTTTCTCTGTACTCACATACAATCCTTTTTCTTTTTTCTTTCTTTTCTCTTTCATTTTAACCCAAAAGAAAATCATATTGTTGTGTAGTCTCTTTTTCCACTGGAATATACACTGTGACTATATTTCCATTTCAAAAACTATACTTCTAAAACACCATTTTAAGAGTTCTGTAATATTCTATGGATGAGTGTGATACAATTTATTTCTCAAATCCTCTAGTAAATTGAACACCTACATTGTTCTAGATGTTTGCTAATATAAATGATGCTGTAATGAAAATATTCACAGCTAAACACTAGAGCCCATCTTTGTTTTCTTAGGGAAAATTCTTTGAGTTGGAATTTCTGGGTCATCAACTATACATTTTTAAAAAGCTTTTGACAATATACTGCCAAATGATCCTAGCCAGAAAGAATTTTTTTTATTTAAAAATATGCACCTTTTTACAACACTCTCATCAGTAAAGTATGAAAGAACCACACATTCACTTCTTAAAAAGCCTGAGAGAGTTTATATTTTTTGACACCGAAGCAACTGCTAATTAACTCAGCTGAGCTGTGGGAAGGGGGAGGAGGCATGAGGATACAGCACTGTTTCCCAACTTGAATTTAGAATCTAAACTATCCCTGAGAATTTCTCATTAAGGGAATTTTACGGTGACTTCCTGCCAAAAAAACACGCCATGGTCATTTATATCCATGCAGGGCGAACGTCTACGAGCAAAAGTCATCGTGGAAATCTACGCCAAGACTTGTATAACATAAACATCTGGAGAAAGAAGATGGGTTTGAAGATGGGTGACCCAGAGGAGGGTCTTGAGGATTTTATACACATAACACAGGACAGACAGAGGGAAGAGGTTCTGAAAACAGACTGGGTGGTGGAGGCGGGGAAGAGAGACTGCCCATAGGCACATTATCGATTATAAAAATACCAAGGTGTGGCTTGGTCAGCGTCATCCGCCAGCCTGACTCACTGCAGATTTGGCTGTTGTCGCATAGAAATATTCATATGTCAACAGCTTCTAAGGAATGCTGGGGAAGAAAGAACACAGGACTTTCAAGTACCCTGGGGGTAGGCGCAATGTCTCCACTGCTCACAAGCTACATCATCGCAGGTGATCGGACAAGATCCTATGAATCTTGGTGGTCAGTGACAGTCACCTTCTCAGAGGCTCATTGTGGGATTTGGGCAAGACCATTATGACAAAATGCCAAGCGCTGCAGCAGAACTTGGCACCTAAGAGGCAGCTGACCCATGGTTGTGGAGAGGAGATGAACAAAACCAGAGAGTTAGCTGAACATATACTCCATTTTGAATATGAGACAGAGAACTGGAGCAAGGGTGAGAGATCTGTATCAACTCTTCCAACAACGGCCCCGCCACTAAGTCCCAGGTCACCTGCCCCCAGGAGCGTTATGGTCACTCGCCAAGAGGCAGCCACCATGGCAAGAATCCCAGGCAACCCTGAACTGGGTTCACATCTACTGTCTGAGGGTTTGAAGCCAGCCTCTGGGAGGACGTGAATGTAGAGAATTTGGTGCGGGTTTTCTGCCTGTCTGGTTCTGGACCAACATCAGAGAAAGTCTGATAAGGTGAGCACTGATGAGACCCAACACCCCAGCCCTTCCTCTATGGGGGCAGGAGGGATACAGATTTCCAAGGCTGCAAGCAGAGATGAACTCTGCCCGTAGACCAAAGGAAGAAGGGAAGCATTGAGTTCTCAAAGTATTTCCTCACTCGGGTGAACGGAACTGAAGCTCCTTCACACCACGGCCCAGAATAAAGAAGAAACCTTGAAGGACCTCCCTGATGGTCCAGTGGCTAAGAATCCTCACTCCCATTGCAGGCAGCCCAGGTTCCATCCCTGGTCAGGATACTAGACCCCACATGCTGCAACTAAGAGCTCTCAGCTTGTTGGATGGCATCATCAACTCAATGGACATGAGTCTGAGCAAACTCCAGAAGATAGTGAAGAACAGGGAATCCTGCAGTCCATGGGGTCACAAAGAGTCAGACACGACTTAGCAACTGAACAACAAATGCTGCAACTAAGACCCGGCAGAACCAAATACATTTTAAAAAATTGGGGAAAAAAAGGAATCTTGCAAAGCGAAGGGGCAAATGTCTCGTCTCCTTGGATAAGAAAAAACAAGCTACCAGAATGCCCAACTAAAGAAGATAGTTACAAACAAACATGATTTACCCCTGAAGTCCTTAAACATCAGGCCATGGAGCTCAATTTTCTGACAGAAAAACATTCAACTTCCTTCCTCATCTGTAAAGGGGGTTGACAGGAAAACCTCCCTCCTAGGTTTGCTGAGAGCATGAAATAAGATAAAGAACCCCAGACCTGGCACCAGACCTGGAGCATAGTAAGTGTTCAACAAAAATGTTAGCTTGGGTTAATAAGTATTTTGTTAAGGAAAAAAGCAGACTGCAAGAAAATATTTATAGTATAAGCCTCTGTTGTTTTTCTTTTAAACTATATGTAAATAAATGGTAGAAAAAGTGTGAGTGTAAGCCAAAAAATGTGAATAAAGGTGATCTCTAGGTGGTGAGAGTACAGTAATTTGTAGTTTGTATTTATACATTTCCAGATTTTATGAGTTTATTTTTGTAAATAAGCATTCTGTATTTTTATAATAGGAAGGAAGGAAAAAAGGAAGATAGGAAGGAAAGAAAAAAAAATCCACTTATTCAATCTAAATACTCAAACCTGGAAGAATGATGAAAGCGAACAGAGGAAACATGCAGAAATTTTTTAAATGCTATTTGCAGAGTTCACGCTGACATGCGAAAATGCTTATCATCTGATGTAAAGGGGAGACCAGGATACAAAATGTTTCCCACATCCTAATTCCAGCTGGGGAAGAAAAAAATGCATAGAAAAAGGATTTGAGGAACATATGCCAAAATATCAACAGTGATTACCTCTGAAGCTTGGATTATGGTTGATTGTCATTGCCTTAATACCATTTTACATTTTCCAAATTGCCTACAAGAGGCCTGAAGTGCTTCTATCATCAGAAAATACATACGCCTGATAACAATAACAATAACAATAATAATACAAACGGCTCTTACTTGTTTGATGGAAACCAGAAACAGCAGGGCCAGGAAGGGCCTCGCAGGGGTCCAGCGAGCCGGCTTGCGAGGGGAGGAGAGAGGCCCAGCCCCCCGGGCGGCAGGGGTGTCCATGAATAACACGTGGGATCCGGGCAGGGGGCTCACTGCCCTCCTCCAGGACCCTGCCCAGCTCGGCTCCGGCCTCATCTTTCTCACTGTGGGTCACAAGTGTCAGCACATCCTTCGAACGGTCCAAGATGTACCGCAGGCGGCCGCCTCTTGCATTCCTTTTCCTCCGGCGAGAAGATGTTTGCACAAACCCTCTGCACGCCGCCCCTGAGAGCGTCTGGCCCAGTCTAGAGCCATCTACCGAATCTCCAAAGTTTCTCATCCCCTGTCCCGCCTCCCCCCTCAGAAGGCAGGGAGATTTTTCCCAGACCTCCCCCCAGTGCTGGGACTTCCTGGGCAGAGGCCGCCCAGGAGAAGAGGCAAGGCATCCAGTAGGTTCCACCCCTGAAGCCCCGCTAGCTGCAAAGGACCAGGGTGGGACTGACCTGGATTCCAGGCCCTGAGGACCAGTGGTGGGAGGATGGGCCTCCAGGTCTGAGGTGGGCATCTTCATCACGGGAGACACTTGTTATTGAGGCTTTAAGTTTGTCCAGGATGGGCTGAGCCCAGCTACCAAGGCAGGGTCTCCTCTGGGCCCTGTTTATGCCAAGACTTCCAGCAAGACAGCTTTTCTGCCCAGGAGACAGCAGCTCCTGCCCCAGAGCCTGAAGCAAAACCGCCATCAGTGGGCTTCGCTGGGGGTCCAGTGGTTGGGAATCCACCTGGCCAGGCAGGGGACATGGGTTCAGTCCCTGGCCAGGGAAAATATGATTCCACATGTTGTGGAGCAGCTAAGCCTGGGCGCCACAACTACTGAAGCCTGAGCGTGCTAAAGCCTGTGCTGCACAAGAGAAGCCAACACAATGAGAAGCTCAGGCACCACAATTACAGAGCAGCCCTCGCTCTCTGCAGCTCGAGAAAGCGGCGGGCAGCCACAAAGACCCAGAACAGCCAAATAAATACCTAAAACAAAGCAAAACAAACCCCCATCACCGACTTGAGCTCCTGCTACACAGCATGCTGAAAAGTCAAACACGTGCTCGCCTCTCGATGGCTCTCACCTGTGAGCGAAGGCCGCTCAGTCCACCAGGCAGATCCTTTGCCAGAACCCATGATCCATTATTGCCAACTAACAGGTGTGTAGTTTTCCGCCACAACTCACATGGACGAAATCTTCTCACCTGGCATCCTACTTCGTTTGTCCTTACAATAACCCTGTGAGGGGATGGTTATTTCTCTGCTTGATGGCTGCAACATTAAGGTTCAGAGAGGTTAAGTGGCTTTCCCAAGGTCACACAGCAAGTTAAAGGTGGAGCCAAGATACCCAGGTCTTCTGACCAGTCACCTGACCACAGAAGCTTGGTAAGTTCTCACATCTGACCCTAACTCTCTAGGTGAGTTCCTTTTTTCTAGTAGGTTCAGCACTGTGTCTCTGAGACACTCTGCTTGGCCCTTCTCATCATCCACCCCTCCCTGTCCAGCCCCTTCCAAGGCTTTCCTGAACTTGAGATTCCACAGAAGACGTCCTGATTGTATGAAATGCAGATCAGCAAGAGACAGGAACACCATGTTCCCATTTAGGCTTTTCTTCCCCCCATAAGCTGCACCAGAGGCTTTCATCCTGGTTAACTTACTCAAGTGAGTGAATTTTGAACAGTTGGGGCAAAACAGTTGAGCATCCCTTAATAGAAATCCTTGGACATCTTAAAAAAAAGCAAAAAACCCACATGGCAAGATTTTAAATACCAGCAGTAAAACATTCAAAATGAACAGACCCCCTACCCCAAGATGGACTCACATAATGACATAACCTCTGGAATCCATGTGGTCATCCCTTTGGGACAGCAGAGAGAGGAATGAAGTGACCCAGGGGGAGAAAACTGCCCACATGATGGTTCTGATCATTCGATGTGGCTGTAAAGCTAGTCTGTGATGCACTTAACAGATTGTCTCCCCAATCGCCTACTGGCAAAAACAGTGCTGCCTGCTTGGTAAGAATATTCTATCTAGCCTCTCTGAACTTTTTCTCAAAAACAGCCTTTTTCTAAAAGGACAGGGGTTGTGGGGAGGGAACGGCTACACACGACTTCTCCACTTGTTGGATGGATGCCATCTAGTGATAAAATGAGGTAACTCCTCTTCCCACAAGACTGGTTGGCAACCAGACAGACACAGCTCACAACACAGTCCTCGGTCTTTGCCAGCCGGAAAACCCAGGCTAAGCGATGTGGACCCAAATAACACCGGCCTTTTCTCCTACCTGCCCAGGTTGATTCTCCGTCATAATGGGGGAGGGGGGCTTGTCTTCGGGAGGTGTCTAACATAGGATGGAGAACCTTTGTGTTCCAGATGCCACGTGGAACCTTTGAGGACATCATGCTATGTGAAAAAAGTCAGTCACAAAAAGAAAAATTCCACGTATAACTCGAGTGACCAAATTCATGGAGAGTATCATAGGGGCTGGGGGAAGAGGAATGGGAACTGGCATTAAATGGGGACAGAATTTCAGTTTTTGCAAGATAAAAAGAGTTCTGGAGCTTTGTGGCAGACCCGAATGTACTTAAGAGTGCACTTAAAAATGATTAAGACAGTAAACTCTATATTATGTGTATTTCATCACAATTTAAAAAGATCAAAAATGGCATCTCTGCTCAGTGTTTTGCAGCAGCCTAGATGGGAAGGGAGTTTAGGGGAGAATGGATACATGTATATGGATGGCTGAGAACCTTTGCTGTTCACCTAAAACTATCACAATATTGTTAATCAGCTATACTCCAATACAAAATAAAAAGTTTTTTAGAAAGTGATGGTGAAAGTGTGAATAACACAAATCAAATTTAAGAGTATTTCGAGTTGGATCAGTAGTTATTCCACTGTGCCTAACACAAAATGGAAGGATATTTTCTTCCAGTATCTAAAAATAGTCATCCAGTTCGACAAGAGTTGCTCACATCACATGGGAATAAATGAAGTTCTGCCCTTGCAAAAAAAAAAAGAACAAAAACAGAAAACCAGCACCTCTACATCATGGGGAGGACTGAAGGGCTGACTGTTGAAGGGAGCATGACCCAGCTCTGTGGCTCCTTCGGGCACAGATGTCACACCCTGGAGAGCACCAGTTCCTCAGGGGGACGTGCGGGGAGAGGTAAGGATGCCAGATGGTGGACCGAGGTGGGGCGGGTACCAGGATGAGGCAGGCGAGGGGGACCCCGCTGCTCATCCTGCCGCCGCACCCCGCATTCAGCCATGGACCGGCGGGCCAGGCAGCAGCGGGCTCTGGCCCTCCTCCCGGTCTGCCTGGCCCTCACCTTCTCCCTCACGGCCGTGTGCAGCAGCTACTGGTGCGAGGGCACGCGGCGGGTGGCAAAGCCACTGTGCCAGGATCGTCCGGGGGTGCTGCACTGCATCCACTACAGCCGTGGCAGCAGCGACAACGGGAGCCAGGCCGTCCAGTACATTTGGGAGATGGGGGACGACAAGTTCGTCCAACGCAGGTTCCACGTGGGGCTCTGGCAGTCATGCGAGGAAACCCTCGGGAGCACAGGTGAGGTCAGCATCAACGGGTCCTCTGGTGGTTCGGGGACGTTAAGCTCTCTGGCTTTCCACATGAAAACATCGCCCAGACCCAAGAGAGCCTGCCTGGGGAGACTGCAGCCGAGGGCCCCTGCGGGGAGATTGCTCCACACACACATCTGCTAGTCAGTCTAATTTAGCACAAATGCCTGGGCTAGCTGATGCATAAGAAAAGGAGCATATTACAACTGGAGGTGGATGGTGGCGCCCACAGAGAGGGACAGGAGGGACAAGGGGGGCTACGGAGACCTGGCCGCAGGACTCCAGCCTGGGGAGGATGCTCCTGGGCCCTGGGCAAGCACAGGAAAGGGATCTCAGGGTGTCTGGTCACCCCAGCTCTGCTGCCCACTGCAGCTTCCTGGGTATTTCCTTTCTTAATCAGCTTCATCTGCATCCCCCTAAAAGTTGACCCTCCTTTGGACCCCCTAATAGAGTCCTCCTGGGGGCCCCCTGGAGTGCTATGTGGTGACCCCCTACCTGGAGGTCATCTTCTAAATAGCTCTGCATCTTCTTCCCAATGCCTCTAAAGAGAGAACGCACCGTTTGAAATGAAGATGTAAAACAAAAACTCCTCTTAGAGAACGAACTTATGGTAGGAAGCCAGGCAGAAGGATAGTTAGGGAGCTTGGGATGGACATGTATACTCTGCTGTATTTAAAACGGATAACCAACAAGGACCTCGTGTAGAGCACAAGGAACTCTGCTCAATGTTACGTAACAGCCTGGATGGGAGAGGGGTTAGGGGAGAATGGATCCGTGTATATGTATGACCAAGTCCCTTTGCTGGTCACCTGAAACTATCATAACACTGGTAATCGACTCTACCCCAATACAAAATAAAAAGTTAAAGAAAAAAAAAGAATAGAAAAAAGCAAAAATTCCTGGTTGGGGCAGCTTTTCAACTCAGTGTTCTTTCTCTTGGGTGAATGAATTAGTCAGCAGAATGTGTTGATTCCCGACTCTGTGCGATTCTGCTGAACCAAGAAATTCAGAGGGGCCTGGGCACACCATAGTGGGTGGGGGTTTGGGGAGAAAAAGCAGACGGAGTGCCACAGTCCATCCCTAGGACTCTGATACCGTTTCCCAGGCTGGCTGGCTGTACTGCTTGGCTGGCGAACCTCTGTCCGCTATATAACATCTGCCTGTCTGGCTTCATGGGATTTATAAAGATTTTTCCTTTTAATCCTGCTGGACCTATTCAAAAGGAACATCATTTCGGAGGATTCATATTAATCAAGGGGTCACTGTGGTTTGACCCACGCTAAACTCACCCTTCTAAGCTATTGTGAATTCTCTTAATCTCCTTGGCTGGTCCCATTTTCACTCTGCCCTGCCCCTGGCTCTGGACTTGCCTCCTCTTTACCCTCCGTTGAGATAAGGCAGCCCTCTCTAGAAGGCTAGTTAGACATTCAGACCTCCATGCGTTAAGCAGAAAGACAGCGGTAGGGTTTAAGTGCATATTAACCAGGAGAGAAGCTTTCCTATCTAAGTGTTAGTTGCTCAGTCATGTCCAACTCTTCAACCCCGTGGACTGCAGCCCACCAGGCTCCTCTATCCATGGGATTTCTTAGGCAAGAATACTGTAGTGGGTAGCTATTCCCTTCTCCAGGGGATCTTCCCGAGCCAGGGATCGAATCCAAGTCTCCTGGATTGGCAGGAGGTTCTTCCTATTTAGGATCTGATTTAATCTTCAAAGCAAGGCTAATGTGGGGACTATGAAACCAATTTTAGAAATAGGAAAGCCGTTCCTCTGAAGAGTCAATAACGAGTGGGATGGGAGGGAATCTCAAGACAGTAGGGATATATGTTACTGATGGCTGATTTACATTGGTGTACGACAGAAACCAACACAACATTGTAAAGCCATTATCCTCCAATTAAAACCAAAAAAAAAAAAGAAAGAAAAAAAAGAAGAGTCAATGATCTATGCCCCTAACATTCCCCTCTTTTAGATCCTAGCAGCCCAGACTGGGAGCTGCAGGATGTGTCTTCCTGGCACCTTCCCTACAGCCCCTGGGTTGAATCCCTGATGTGGCAGGACAGTCTCGGGACAGTACTAGGCCCCTGCAAGCCCAGTTTGAATGCTGAAACTGCCTCCACCCATGTTTTCTGTACCACGTTTTCCCCTCAGAGGTCCTCAGACACACCCTTCCTAACTGTGCAGAGACAAATCAGGCGATGTCCCCGGATCCTCCCATTCCACCAT